TTCCCCTCGCTGCCAACCTTCTCCCCGTCATGATGCACCACCCTCTCGCCGCCTGTCGTCTCCCCGTCACAATTCGGACATCAGCACCAAGGCCTCTGACAAGGACAGACTGCCTACCAAGGCAACAGACGTGCATCCCGGCCCTCAAACACGGTCCCCATACCCTCTCGTGCGTTTCTTCTGTCGTGTTTCCGAGTCTAACACGCCCACTTCTGTAGCTTGTCACTCATATCATGATACTTATTTGCCGCTCTCTTATTCAACGCGCTTTCTTCAAGGTAATTTCTTGAGCCCCTGTTCTCGTCCACTCGAGTTGTATGTGTTCTTGACCATCTGCATGCTTCATGTACTCTCTCGTGTTGTCAACAATTATGTTAATTTTTGTCATGTACTATTGCTGCTGTACATTAGTCCGGCTCATGTATGTTATAACAATGGAAAATTACAAGTGTGCTATAATTATAAATTGGCTTGTAAGAGATGTGATTGCTATAGTCCACTGCACTCATGACCTGGCCTTGCATCGTAAACAGCGCCTGTACAGCCTATAAGGGTCACAGTGCCTGTAAGCAGACTCAGCCTTGTAACCCTACCCGGATGCTGACACGCTCGAATCGGCTTCTGTCAAATCCTCCTCGTCTTGTCAAAGTTGAAGCTGCTTTGTTTGACTTGCGAGGTACCCTAAGTCGCTTCGACCACTGTGCTCCCTGTAAGCGATTGTGGGCCTTATTGCTTGCATGTAAGTCCACTGCACTTTTAGTGATGAAGATGTTGTGCTCACCCCTCTGACCCCACTATGTATCAAACACTTTGCACTCATTGGTGCCTTGCCGGTTTATACAGTACTCAGCATGGTTGAGTTCCCACAGTCTCGCTGATTGAGTTCTGGGGGCTCTGGGCTCCGCATGGCCCCTGCCATGGACAATGAGCCTGATGTGATCTCCAATCCTCTGCGAGACCTGGATAGAAGGAATCCCTTGAAAACTTAATTAGCTGGGGTGTTTAACATACAGCAATGGTAGCATAGGCTATCAGAATACTTTGAATAGGATTTATTTAATATTTTCTAGTAATTTAATCATATTTATGCCTATTTTACGGTATGTCCCCCCTGTTAAGTTCGTGGCTTCAATTATGGGGTGGACTGTCCCCCCACATTAGGTTCGGTTCGTGGGGAGGGGGGGACAGGGGACCGAACCTAAGGTCGAAAAAGTACAGTAGGTATTAGAAAAAGTAGTGGTATCTAAGTATTTGATGGACGCGTGTTAGTAAAGCAGCGAAGTCGCAACATGGCTAAAATTTCAGGTATTAAATTTGTATGCTATATCGGCCATAAGCGCAAACAGCGATACCGGCCGTTGGCGCATCAGCCCGCCTGTCAATCAGATGTCCGTGCAAATCGTCACGAGCGCCTCAATTAGACTTCGAGTCGGTGTGCCCTGTGCGTGCGAGCCCGACTCGCTTGTTATCCGTATCATAGACCGAGTAGTACCGCTCCCTGCATCGTCCACCACGCCAATTTGTCAGCGGACACCTTTCGAGAACAGCATGAGGCGATAATACTCACAAGAACGCATATCCGTTGATAAAGTCTAGCCCATCGCCCGAAGACGAGCCAAGATCGCCCACCATCAGGTAAATGGCATCTGTCGAGCCTCCGATCTCCGCATTCAGAGACCTAGGGAAAATCTGGGCGTTGGGCGTAAGCGGGAACGTCGCACCGCCAATATTGAAGTTGAGGTCCTTCAAGTTCTCGTACTGCCCTAGCGTGATGCGGAGGAGGCCAGTAACGTTGTCCGTGACAGCACCCGTGGCTTGTTGATACCGCTCAAAAGCATCTGCGCAAAACGAAGATGGTCAGCCATACCAATCGCCTGATCAAGAGGAAAATGCAAGTACCAGTCGCGATGAGCACGAGAGTAGAGCCAGTATCGACGATACCGGCAGTCGAGCTGAGGATACTCGTCGAGTCGCCGTACGTGATGCTCTGATCGATCCCCCAGAACTCGTTCGCAGGCGACGTGGTCGTGATCGGGACGTACATGACGTCGCCGTCGATCGCCTCCGTATCCACAGCCCCAAAGTCCAGCTTGCCCTCGCCCTCCAATATGCCCACAGGCTTGAATTGGACGCCAAGCACGCTGCTTTGGATCGAGCCCTGCGAGTACAGGTTATCGACCACAGTCGGGATAGTCGCAGAGTCGTCTGGGGAGAGCGTGCCCTTGGTGAGGTCCACGGGCCCAATCCCAAGAATACCATCGGCGCCATCAAAACCGGAAGAACTACTCGCAACACCAATGGACTGGCTCTTTATTGTGAGGCTGCCGAGCGTCACATCGTCGGTGTATTCTTGCCCAGAAAACGAACCGCTTCCGTACGTCACACTCTAAATTCCACCCAAAATAACCTATCAGTCCCGACCCGCAGGCGAAGAAATGAATCAAGCAAGAACTCACGACTTTATCGCTGGTAGCATGAGACGTACTCGTCTGAACGTAAACCCCGTTAACCCCAACCCAGGTGTTCGAGCTCCCAGTATCAACGATGAGTTTATCTACAGATGGACAAGGCACATCAGTTGACCGAGTTGTGCAGTATCCCGCGACTCCTCGAGCGACTTACACTGCGTAGGAGGGCTGCCGACGCCCACGCTCGCCGTGTAGGTGGTACCGGTGTTGGACACGCCTAGTGACGCATCACGTTTGCCATTGCCAGACTTGGCGGCCATCGCGAATGCCTGTGCACGCGCACGATCGACATCCGCGATGGTCTGTCCCACAGGAATGTTGAGGAGCCTATTGATGGCGAGCGACGGCGACGAAGTACTGTGAGAGCGAGCGTGGGGCTGTGGTTGGACTGGCGAGGCGAACGCCGTTGCGGCGAGAACGCAGAGGGAGAGGAGGGCTTTGGAAGGAAACATGGTAAAGAGCGAGTGGTGGGAAGTCTGCAGGCAAAAGTCAACTAGGCTGTGGATCGCAGACGGAAAATTGCCTCCCTTTATACCTCCAGTCGAAGACGCTATGCTCCGACGTCGGCGATTTTTGTTTTATTACATCACGAGAGGTGTCGTGCAGCGCGCATATGGGCGCGTGCAGTCTTGGCAGACATTATGTGATCGAAACCACTTGAGCCCTGAGGGCTGCTGACTGCTATTCGGCTGAACATGGATGGAAGCGAACAAGACATTTATTTGACATACCACTTGTCTCCGTGAGCAAATATCGAGAACCCTGGGCATTATGAAATCAGAAACGCGTTCAGAAGGCCATTGAATGAAAAGTCTTGTACTCGCCTTCGAACTGCGAACACACGCCTAGAGCAGCGGTAGCTTATGAACAGCCGAGCGTCATCATGGGGAAGACGAAAGCCGCATTAGCCGCCAGCTCAAATGTTAAACTCGACGCGTCGTCGGATCGGAACCCCGCGTTAAACGTCATAGGGGCTATTAAGGCTCGTGCCCTTCGGCGCCTCCTCCGCATACACCTCAAACAGGCTCGGAGGCCCAACCGCCTAACAGTGTTGACTGTCGACGAGATACCCGGATGTTCCCCGCAGCTCACGGTGTCCAGCATGCTTCGCCGTTGACGACGTTTCGCCGCTTGAATAAGGCAGCAAAAGATCCCCAGCCAAGCCAAGCTGACCTCTTGCATGACGTGCAGACCCGTCCCGCGTACTTGAGCAGTGCGTTACAACCAACCAACAACTCAACGACGTGAGACGAGCCTAGAACACTGCAGCATCGTCACCAGACTAGCTCGTACCACCAGCTCCATCCTTTACGAGCGGACGGCGGAGCGGCTGGCTGATCATGCTTCGTCGTCTACCAAATCTTCTTTGAAAATGGGTACACACTCATCGAGGATCATGAGAATGTTTGAGCTGCGGAGGAGACGGTGTTGACTGTGCAAGAGCAGAGAGAAACGGCTTGTCGGACGACCCATAACCCCGGCAGAAGTAAGCGCCCGGATCGATGTAGAATACTCGACATTTTGATAATGCCAGTTTGCGGCGTCGCGAGCGGGGTGAGATACGAGGTGATCTACTTGGTCTGAGAAGGGATGGGGTTGTGGGGAATCCAGAGGTGCGTCGCTAATGAGGGGTCAGAGAGGCCAAGAACGAATTGAAATGGGTGTGTATAATGTCATCAAGACATCGGAGGGCGTCCCGAGTTCACTCTCTGTAGACGTTGGGGCCGATCGAGGACTTGGTTAGAATCAGAGTTCCTTCAAACCCGAACGTTGCAAACATCCAAGAAAGTCTGGGGCCATGAGCGTGCGGGGAGCCGTACGGGGTTCAGGGTCGCCCTTTCGCTCGGGCATCTAATCTTATCATCGCACCCAAAGGCAACTACAGTCAACTCCCTCTTAACCCATAGCCCTCCAATCCCATACTCCCTGCTAACCCATGGGTTTTGCTACCCATCGTGTTTTGTCCCACCCAAATGAGTTCCGAAACCCATAACTTCCTGATATCCCATACCCCATGGGCTTGAGTGCCAAAAAACCCATACATTCGGTACTTTTAGCAGCAATAACTATCCCCAAAAGACATACATTTCAGATCATTAGGGGAAATTTTGGTTGTGTTGTCGAAAAACTTTATGAAAGTGTACTAAAGACCATGTGAAATGGCCAATATGACCGAGGTTTACTATATTTTTGACGTGTTTGCTTCCATGTATTCGGCCAGGCATCCGAACTTGCACCAAGACTCAGGGGTTTGAAGCGGTATGTGATTGCATGGTACCTCGACAGCTTATGAATGATCCAAGCACTCAAAATTGTGATGTTTTCCTGGTTGTCGGCGTGTCAGCTTCGGGCAGAGCTATCAAAGAGAATGTCAACATCGAAGATTAATAGTTGTGCTTCTCCTAAGGCTGCTCATCTACATGATCAGGTTACTATTGCCTTTTCCAAATATATTTATTTTCTCCGTATTTTCTGCATCTATTTTTAGTACATTCTCCAAACCCATACTCCCCGTTAACCCATACCTGTGGGTGTCCACGAAGGGGTATGGGTTAAGAGGGAGTTGACTGTATACACGCACCTCAAACTGTCGGTCCCCGCAAACGGCGTTGAACGGCACGAGTAAAGCGCCGATGGGCGCTACACGCAAGAAGCCAATCACCCCATCATCTGGGACAATTAAGCAGTTACCAGCATCGGACGACGGAAGCCTCCGACCCGCGTGTTCTGCCAGAGGTCCAAGACAAAGATACAGCCCCTAGAAGCAGTGACAGTAGAGATGGTCTCGAAGGGCGGGTTCATTTCACCCCAGCTAGGCTTGATGGGATGAAAGAGATTGACAGTGCACAGGAATGATTGCGAGTAACCACCGCGCTATTGATAGCCTCGAGCAGCTCGCAGCCCTCGAGACCTGGCCCGTCGTGCGTGCACTACGAAAAATGCAGAATCGAGGGTGTGCACATTGCAAGTGAATAGACAGCCACGAGTTGGTGTCAGAAATATATGTCGCACTGCACGTTTTCGTTTGTTTGTGCGATCGATGGCCCCTCAATTGCGCGGCGCGTCGAGAGATTGACGCCCAAGTCCGAGCAGTCGGCTACCAACGAGCCCACCGCCCTCGCCACAATAAATACCTCCACCCTCCCCATCGCTCCTTCATCCACATACCCCACCCACCCAACGATGAACCCACAACGGCACTCGTTCACCGCGCTCAACTCGACCTTCATCGTCGACTCCGAGTACGGCTTCGTCAAGGAACTCGGCCAGGGCGCGTACGGCTGCGTCGTCGCTGCCAAGCACCGCCGCTCCGGCGAAGGCTGCGCGATCAAGAAGATCACCAACATCAACACAAAGGTCCGTTCCCTCCTTCCTACCCGTGTCGCCGGATGCTCATCTGTACGCCGCAGAGGATCCTGACGAAGCGGTGTCTGCGCGAGATCAGGTGCGTTGGCCGTCGAGCACGCGGGATGGGTAACTGACGTCCGTCGACAGACTCCTCCATCACTTCCGGGGCCACAAGAACGTGCGTGCACTGGCTCAGTCGGTCGCGCGCTGCTAACATTGGATGGACGCAGATAACATGCCTGTACGATATGGACATTGTCTTCCAGCCCAACGGCAACTTTGACGAGGTCTACCTCTACGTACGCAGCACTCCCCTCCTATTCCACAGGCACTAACAAGACGCTACAGGAAGAGCTCATGGAAGCCGATCTGCACGCCATCGTACGTTCCCTACTTTCCCCACCCGCCCACCCTAACCCCCGCACAGATCCGCTCCGGCCAGCCGCTCACCGACGCGCACTTCCAGTCCTTCCTCTACCAGACGCTCTGCGGGCTCAAATACATCCACTCCTCCAACGTCCTCCACCGCGACCTCAAACCCGGCAACCTGCTCGTCAACGCCGACTGCGAGCTCAAGATCTGCGACTTTGGCCTCGCGCGCGGCTACTCGCCCGGCGGCGGCGCGTCCGCGAGCGCGGGCAACCAGGGGTTCATGACCGAGTACGTCGCGACGCGGTGGTACCGCGCGCCGGAGATCATGCTCAGCTTCGCCAACTACACGACCGCGATCGACGTGTGGAGCATCGGCTGCATTCTCGCTGAGCTGCTCGGCGGAAAGCCGATATTCAAGGGCCGCGAGTGTGTACTATCATCATCTCATAGAATCCTCGCGCTCACAAGCACATAGCTACGTCGACCAGCTGAACCAGATCCTGCACTACCTCGGCACGCCCTCGGAAGACACCCTGCGCCGCGTCGGGTCTCCCCGGGCACAGGACTACATCCGCTCGCTGCCGATCAAGCCGCGGGTGCCGTTCAGCACGCTATACCCGAACGCGAACCCGCTCGCGATCGACCTGCTCGGGCAGATGCTGTGCTTTGACCCCGCGCGGCGGATCTCGTGCGAGCAGGCGCTGAACCACCCGTATCTGCAGGTCTGGCACGATCCCGCGGACGAGCCCGTCTGCGAGCAGGTGCGCATCGCATAGTGTGTGCAGTGTTGATGTTGACAGTGCTGCAGAAATTCGACTTTTCGTTCGAGGAAGAGGACAGCATCGACGGGATGAAGAAGCTGATCGTCGAGGAGGTGCGGGACTTCCGGGCCGAGGTGCGGCACCAGGCGCGCGGGGGCAGCCAGATGCGCAGGCAGGATTCGTACGTCTCTCTTTGCTCGCATCGTGTGGGTGAACCACCATCTTATTTTCGTGCGCCACCAGGCTTCCGATTCCGACAAGGGACGACATCCTCGCGTCGCCGGTGCAGGAGTACGGCCCGCACCACGGTGCGACGTCGGGATACACGCAGCAGAACCCTAATGGGCACGCGCGGGCGGCGAGCCCTGTGATGGACGACCCGTCCAAGGAGCTCGAGCGGGAGCTGGCGGGGACGCACTTGGGGAGGCGGTGAATGTCGAAGCGTGTACACATGTAGGCTGGATGTATTGATAGCGATGTCTTGATACCGTGTCGGAGTGTTGCATATACGCAGCGTTTGTGTTTCTGGAATGGGCGGGGGCGAGTGGATATGGGCGTGCGTCGATCTGCGGTGGGTCATGTGTGGGATGTGCGCGGCATGCATTCGGTGGTGGTGGGTTCTAGCTGACCACGGGGCGAGGCGAAGTTGGGCATGGGGAAGGTGTCGAGGGCGAGACACGTTCTACAGCACGCGGCCGACGTGGTCGGGGTAGCTGTCAGGAAGAAGCTAGATGTCAAGGTACGTCGAGGCGTTGGCGTTGGCTGTTCTGAATGAGATAGGCAGGCGCAGAGCAGAGAATGGTGGCGCCGGGTGCGGACCGGGTGATACATAGAGACGGATTCACGCGCTGGGTAAACGTAGAACGAGTGAAGGTGCCACTCTGGTGCCAGGAGATGGGAGATGGGCGAGTGATAGGGCGAGACGAGAGTTTGGCCCGGGTAGTTGGCTCGGAGGCCCAGTGGTGCTTGCATGTCCCATGTCGTCTCGGGGGAAGTTGCAAGTGTCAGTTGGACGGCGGGGGCTCAAATCGGAGTCGTGAAGTCTGGGTTGGAAGTAGGGTTGTTCGTTGGATGGTTGTGGGTGGTTGGCGGAGGCAAGGGAGTGTTGTGGATTGTTGTATTATTCTAAAGAGGGAGTGTATTCAAATCAATCATGGCCTGGACTCTCCTCTATCTTTTACACTCAACTCAGATGCAGCAGCAGAGCGAGTCCAGGCCGGGCTGTGACAGGAGATGCCGAATTTGTCGCTCGATAGGGCAAGAAAGTGGAGAGATAATTACTACATACATCTACTCCGCTCCACCCCACCCCACCGACCGACAGCCCACCTTTCTTCTTCTCAGCACACCACCACCAACGGGGAGAAAAGGAAAACAGAAGATCGATCTTGCCCGTTGCCCATAACCCCACTTTTACAGTCACTATGGACGCCGACGCCGACTACGCCATGGCCGACCCCGATCCCCCCGCCCAGCTCACCCGCGAGCCCGACACCGCTTTTGCTGTCCCATACCACACCCCCTATCTCGCACCCCTCCAGTACCCCGCCTGGGGCTACTCTCACATTCCAGAGCTCACTGTCAGTACCCTCTTTTCTACCCCGCCACCCCCGCTCACAGTCTCCGCCACAGACGATGCCAACGGAGATGCACCCAGACGACGTCGCCCTCCACCACGCCCTCCTTGCAGACGTCAATCACCACCACGCCACTTCCCCCCACGCCAAAGCCGTCGATCGCGATCGCGCTCTCAGAAGACTCGCCCTCGCATGGGAGGACCATTTTCTCGCCAGATACCCCGTTCCCTTCTTCCAGATGCGCGTAGCCGATGTCAGAGCCGTCGGCGGCTCCCTCTCCACCGCCCTGCCACTCTACGAGGAGGTCAGTACCCTATAATGGCGCATATACGCACCCTAACAAGTCGTCTGCAGGTCCTCCACGCCAACCTCGCCTTCGACAGATCCGACCTCGTCCGTTTCATCTCCATCATCCGCAACCAAGCGCAAGGCGACGCCGAAGAACAAGGTACGCTTTCCTTCCTCCCGCTCCTCCTCCGCCTCTTCGCACCACTCTACCCCACCCTCACCACAACTGGCATCTCACCTCAACCTCAACCTCAATCGCAATCGCAATCGCCCCTCCCGCTCGCATCGCTACTGCCCACTGCAGCCCGCCGCTCCGAGTCCCTCACATTCTTCCAGTCGTGGAAAACTGCACGCGACATCGAAAAGCCCTTTGGCTGGCCGATGCTCCCGCCCGACGCTGCAGAGCTTCGCCAGCAGTGGGCCGAAGCAGGCGACGGCGTCCACCAGGCGTTCAGGACCTATGCCGCAGTGCAGGGCGCACATCTCGAGGGCCTGTTCATATTGACACCACAGGTCTGTCCTTACCTTGATGATCTGGATAGCGGTGCTGACGGAATGCGGGGACAGTCGACGATGAGCGTGTGCAGGGACGGAGTGCATCCCGCCAGGATCGTGTGCGAGCCGGAGAGCGAGATGCACGACGAGTGGGCGATCGCGGATGCGCTGCAGGACATGGAAAACGTGAGTCTTTGGTCGTCCTGGTTTCCTCATACACTAATGCACTTTTCTGATCCCCGAACAACAGACATACGCAGCCCTCCTTCCCTTTTCCGAACACGCCGAGCTGCTCGAACAGCTCACCCCCGCGCTCATACGCAAAGCCCACGCCACCCTCATGCGCTCCTCCAAAGTCCGCCTCGGCCCGCCCCTCCCGCCGCCCCTTCCTTTCTTTGCCGGCGCGTCCGCGTCCTCGGGCAGCCATGGACCAGGCAGCCAGTTCCACAATGGTTCCTCTGGATCCGGCTCGGGATCTGGGTCGTCGGGGTCGTCCGGCGCAGCATCAAGTCACAATGGAAGAACGCACGCGGTGTCTGCGCCGCCGCCGCCCCAGGTGCAGTCGCAGAACGGGAGACGGGGTGCTGCGATCCATTCGCCCGCGCCGGGAGCTGGGGCAGGGGCAGGTGTAGGAGCAGGCCAAAGCGGCAGGCAGACCCAGACGATCACCGTGCCCATCGCGGAGCTCTCGGACGTGCTCAACCACACCGCGCCGAGCGCGAGCGGCACCGTCACGGGCACGAGCATCGCGCGCCCGCGGAGCGTCGACGGTGTTCCCGGCGTCGCCGCCGGTGTCAGCGTAGGCGTCCCGCCGCGCCGGGTCGGATCGACATCGAGCCTCGCCACGCTCGGGAGCACCGCCAACGTCAGCGTCAACGTCAGCGTCAACGGTTCTGGTCCCGGAGGCGGGTCTAGGCTCGCTATAGCGGCGGACGGCGGAGAGCCCGACGGCGACGTCGTCGTACATGGGAATGCAAACAGGAACGGAAACGGGAGTGGTGGCGCGGGAACGGCGAGCGCGGTGCACTACTCGAACGCGGGGGTCACGCGCGGGGTGACGCAGCGCACGGCGGTGGTGCGGAGTCAGCAGTATAATCTCGCGTTTTGTCCGGCCGGGGGCGTCGATCAGCAGCTGGAGTATATATGCAAGATGGGCCGGGTGAGTTTCTTCATTGCTCCTTGGTCGTTATTCGCGATGGGCTCCGTTGGCTGACCTCGGGCGGTGGGTGCTGTAGCAATACATCCGCAACTGGCGGAATCCGTTCTCGACCGCCGCGTGGATACACCTCACGATCGTGCGGTGCCACCCGTTTGACGTGCGTTCTCTAACCTTTCGCCCGTGTCCCTCCTGGAGTTGCTCACATGCCATGTCGTTCTTCAGGACGGAAACGGGCGGCTGGCACGGCTGCTGTGCTCGATCCCGCTCATCAAGCACGGCTTCCCGCCGCTCGCGCTCATGCCCGAGTTCAAGACGGCGTATTACGAGGGTATGAACCGGGTGCGTTGTCTCAAATAATCACACTCTTACTCGTACTCACACTCGTTCTCTCTCTCCGCTCTCCCGTCCCCTCCCTTCCTGTTTCTCAATTCGTCGACATCCGCACCGCAGGCCTGGGACGGCGACTTCAGCACGCTGATCGCGTGCTTCTTCGAGAGCATGCGCACCGCGCTCGTGCACGTCGAGCGCCTCGTCGACACGGACTACGACGTCGTCGGGCGGCGCGTCGCGATCAACGGCGTGCCCGTGTCTGTCGCCGAGCGCGACGGCGAGGACGTGGGCATGGTTGCGTCGTGAGCGCCGTCGTGGTGCGTGGGTCGTGTACGTGGTGCGTGCGGTTGTGTGTTGATATTGTGTGGGGTGGGCTGAGCTGACGGTGTGTCGATAGGCGGGCGGTTGTAAAAGCGGGTGTGTGCTGGTAAGACGGCCCCTGCATGCATCGTTGCGTGAACGTCTTACCGTTTCCCCCTAGGATACACTGTCTTTCGCGGGTCTTTCTGCAGACAACCCGGTGTACGTGAGGAGGTCTCGGGTGATGGATGGGGTGTGTAGAAGTAATCAAGGCTGGGCGGTGGCGATCTGCAAGAATCTGATGTGCGGTATGGACACTGATCTGCATACGTATGAATACCAATTGAATGCTGTGCTGTGTTTGTTTTTCGTCTTTCCCTCTCGTGTAGTTTTCAGTGCGTTTGTGGGCGATGCTTGGGCTCGGAAGGTTGACCATGGGTATTGGTCGTCAGCGTCCGTCAGTTGTACCGTGTGCATGGTGCTGACGAGCGCATTTCGGGCCCCCCGGACTTTCGCATTTATTGTTAGTTGCTAAAACGTCGTCGTCGTGTCGGATTTGCACATCCGACCACATAGACAGATATCTCCGGTGTATATATTTGAGTTTTGTAATCGTCAGGACTGGGATGGCTGCATGTTCGCGTTTCTGTTTTGGGCACGGGATGGAGGCTCGAGGAGTTCTCGTTGTTAAGGAGACGTACGTCCACACAAGAGACAAGACATACGAGATTTAAAGTAGATCGTAGATAAATGCAACTTCAAGCACTAATAGCCCCTAATATATTGAAGATCGGACACCTCCGTTCCCACGACGCGTCAACTTTACGTTTGAAATTTTGGAGTCTTACCACCACGCCCACACAGCGCTGAAGATGAGCAACTGTACTATGCTTCTTCAAGTTCTTGACCTTTCTGCGTGTACAAATCGACTGCCTTTTCAGCACCGTTGACATCCAATCGCAGTTTCCGATCGTACGGGATGACCCTGAAGTCACCGTGTGGCGGCGTTAACGTTATAGTGCGCCGTTTACATCATCTGCGGTTAATCTGCTCAACGTTCATCTATTGAGCCCAGGTACAGTACATGTGTCGATCAGGGTTGCTTACGCTTCCATTACTTTTCATTGACGAGCGTACTGGTGTCTCTGAGTGCACAAAAGACCAACGATCTCCGGAATGCGGCGGCGTCAACGGTGTACGGCTCGTTGCAGATATAGCCTCAGTGCTTTGTGGGTAGGTAGAATTTCGAGGCAACTAGTGAAAGCACGACGGTTTCATCCTGTCGCGCATTCAAGCGCCGGTTACGTAGATTCAAGATGTTGCATGTGTTCCGTGATACCCATGAATATCGGCATGGTGCTTCCTTCCTTGCCGTCGTTTAGGTTGTCCTCATCCCGCGATAGGAAATGGTCAAACATTCTGGTTTCACCCAAGTTTTACCACTCCAATATTGACTCACCAGAAGCAACGTCTATCGTCGTGGTTGAGCGAAACTGCGATAGCTGTGCTTCATGACTTTACGCCCCCGTTCGAACCAGCTGATTGTTTCGTAGGTATTTGAGACAATCATCTTATACGATTCCATTACTAATGACGGGCTCTCAACAGCTTCTACACTGCCGAACTTAACAACCTATTATGCGATTGCGGTTCCGAGCCCATGGCGCCGTCGATCATTGGTTGTACTCTCTCTGCTTTCCGCTATGGCCTACAGACGGGCTGTCCTTCTGAACGATCTATTCTCTTATTGACCTGCTCACAAGTGGCCGTCAATGAAAATCGGATGTCTTTGGCGCGCGACTTGCCTTTTTCCATCGCCCTTATTTACTCTATCGTCGTGAAACGTCTTGGCAACAACGTCTCTGTTTTAGACCCGTCGAAAAACTGACGCCTGAGTGACAGACGCCCAGCAATGCTTGCTCACTCCTCGGACATGGCTGGGCACCCGTTCACCTCCCTCCCTCCCGACTACATTTCCACTGTGACAAGCCAGGGGTACATCGTTTCACTCAAGCCAATCAGCCTGATCAAGAGCGAGGAAAAGAAACCTGCCATCTCGTACATGTTCGCCGAGCACGGCGGCGAGCGCTTCTTCCCCTGCCTCGTCTACGAGGGCACCCATCCTCCCCCCGCCGATCTCGGCATCCTCGGCGACATCTACGTCGACGTCGTGAGCGTGCTCGTATGGGGAAAAGTCAAGGCCCCCGAGCCCGACGGCACCCCCAAGAACGAAAAGTGGATCACCTGGCCCGGCCCCATGGCGCACGCGCAGGACATCGACATCAGCGAGGAGGCACAGGCCCAGTTCTCCGCACACAGCCTCATCAACCACCCGCTGCTCCCGCTCTCGTCGCGGCGCTGCCTCTGGGTCTGCGTCCAGTACGGCGTGGCGTGGCTCCCGCCCTGGCGCATCCACCAGCTCCGAACGAAGGCGCTCAAGGACCGGCCTCACTGGGAGCTCGCGCGCAACGGGCGCTGGCTCGTCGAAGAGTATATCAAGAGCAGAAATCATCTGTTTCCGGATCACGATCCGTTGATCGGTGGCCACCGCGACGTCGCTGGCGAAGGGAATGCTCAGCCGTTGGTAAGTACTTTTCAGTTCGCAAGTGTGAATACCGTCAACTTACAAGGAATTGTGCTCGGTCGTCGTTTAAACCGATGGCAACAGAAGCTCCAGCTGCCGGCCATGAACACGACCGTCCGGCTCCAGTGAAAACTCAACATCCCAAGAGGAAGCTGAGAATAGAAAAGGTCTGTGCCATTTTTCATCCATGATCTCCGAATATCCTCTCAACGAATTAATGCAGTGCACTGCCACCGAGCGCTCTGATTCAGCTCAGAAAAAGGCTCGCCCGAACGAAGGTCGACCTGACGCCCCGCCCAACAATGCCAGAACTTTTCCATCGGCACGCACACTCACAGCGGCCATTGCAGCGGCGGGGCGGCTGCAGGTGCTTACAGGAACGACCAGCATTCCGAATCCACCGGTTCGCGAAGGGCGCGGAGAGCTCTCGTATCAGCGGCCGCGGCGAGCGCTCCTGCCAGACACCAATATGAAGGTGCGTGTACAGATTTCCATCCTCTAAACTCCCTAGCTAAGCAGCTGCATCATTTTACAGGACACGCACAGGAACATCGCCAGAAAAGATGAGCTGCGAGTCGAGAGACAGAGCGGGCCGCGGACAATTCAACAGGATCAGACGCAGCCAGGACAGCAGGGTACGTCTCTTACGCCGGGAGCACGGGGTCAGTGTAAGCAAGGAAGTGAATCAGGAAGCCTTGGAACAGGATTGTCGAGCGGTGCGCCATGACGGTGTCTTTCTTTACTCGAGGTATTTTCTTGCCGGACGTTTGTTTAACTATCCTATTACCCGCGTAATTACCACGAAGCATTGACATAGTGTACCTATCACGTTAATTACATACACTGAGGCATAAGTTGCGTGAAGAGCCGCGCTGAATTTTGGGGACATCTTGTGGACCTGTTAATCTCTTTAGTGACGGCCTAGTACATTACGATATTCAACATTCAACTAGCTTTTTGACTAATGTAAGGATTGACCAACATTCAGTCATTCTAAACGACAATCACTACGGGGAGCTTATGTTGCTTTAAACACACCGCAGTGGCACTGGACATACTGAAACGCCTCCCCGTGGTATCCGCACATTATCTTGCCAACCCTGTTCATAAACGGGTGGCATATCTTGTCGTGGTACTTGGGTGCTGCATTGACGTTCAACTTGCGCCACAACAATCGGTTTTCCGACGTATCTTCGTTCGAGGGCAGAATCGCGTTTGAGTAGACAATCTTCGACGCACATATCGCACACTATGTTACTACGCCAACAGTCGCAGGACGGGGCCCGAAAAGGATATCATTGATAACAGGTAAAGCAATGTCCGAAGGATTCTAGGCGGCTTAGCCGGGAAATCCATAAGTCTACTCGACGGAACTGCAAGGCAAATAATCATGAATACACCAAATGACCGATTGTGACCACAGCACTCACGATAGCTCTTTTTCAGAAGTGACATGAATAGAAGTATGGCTCGGGACACCATTGATACGATGATAAGCGTTCAAGTTCTTGTGAAGGGTGAGCTGGAAGACAGAACAGCCTCCTTGACTGCGTGCCTCGCGTTAGCGAAGCGCCTAAACCCCAAACGAAATAGATCCACGAACCGAGATATGATAGTCGCGTACGCGAGGAAGAACGCCCAGATGCGGAACCAGCGCTCGCCGTACTTCTCAAGCACGCGCTCCTTGTTCGAGACCCAGTTCTTGTACCAGCGCCAGAGCGTAGCGGAATAGTGCACACCCAGAACATCGATGCTCTTGACCTCGAAGCCAGCGGCCTCAACCTGGTTGACGACCCAGCCCAGGGAACAGCTGGCATCCGCACCCGGGAAAACGTATTTGTTCATGAACAAGCCCCTGGACGAAGTTTAGAGCCTAGATTCGTCAATCACTAGGACGCGGCGTACCAGATAAGGTCCTCGTACTGCCAATGGGGACGGAAACCGGAGACCTGGAAGACAAAGATACCGTCGTCGGCGAGAAGATCGTACATTTGCTTCATGAAGGTCCCGTAACGACGGATCCCAACGTGCTATCGTACAAAAAAATCAAACCCCGTCATAACGCACAGTGAAAGTCCAGCACCGTACCTCCGCCATCTCAAGCGCCACAATCTTAGTGTACTGACCCGGTCCACCGGGAATATCTCGGTAATCCATACACAGAATCCGGGCCCTGTCCGGGGCCCCCCCGTTGTTCACAATGCGGTCGTTCCCAAACTTAGTCTGGTTCCTGCCCGCAGTGATACCCGTAACATCGCAGCCGTAGTTCTTGTGCGCGAACGCCGCGAGCGTGCCCCAGCCGCAGCCGACGTCGAGCAGCCGGTCCTCGGGCGTGAGGTTGAGTTTCTCGCAGACGATCTTGAGCTTGTTGTCCTGCAGCTCCTCGAGCGTCTCCTCACGTGTAATGTCGGAGATGACGCCGGACGTGTAGATCATGCGTGGCCCGAGGAACCAAGAATAGAAATCGTCGCCGCCTGCAGCAAGTAAGTATGCGAAGGTCAAGATCCTGGCGCTACGGAGATAGACGAGGACACGTACGGTCATAGTTGCCACGGACCTGCTCCTCGTCCTGGTTCTGAGTGTGAAAGATGACGTCCGGAATGAGGTTCATGAAGACGTATTTAAAAAGCTCGGGCGTCATGACCATCTTCGCCCAGTCGTGGCGCTGTTCCATAATCTCGAGGACGTCATCTGATGAAATGGCAAGATAATGAGACCACGTAGATACAACACGTACACTGCGCAACATTACTCACCATTGAAGTCAATCTTGCCCTCAAAGTACGCGTCGTGGAAAACCTGCATGGGTATCTTCTCCTTGCCATGATACACAGCCCTCAGCTCAGGATCCTTGATAGTAATATACGCCTCGATATCCTTTCCCGGAAGCGCAACCTTCTCGTTCTTGCGAGGACCGCACCTGCTCATGACAGCCCAGTAGCCAACAGCAACAGGCGCACCGAGAAGCACAGCCAGCAAGACGTAGGTCGCGAACCCTCCCCGGTTAACAAAGGGGAGAACGCGCTTCACGACCCACGGCACACCAAGAGCGAGAACGGCAAGGTGGACGTTGCTAAACGAGCCGTTGCCCTCCACGAGGCCCACGTACGGGGCGTTCTTGATGGCGGGACTTTCTGTCGGGATAACGGGAACGGAGTGCATGGCGGTCGACGTCAAAAGGCGTTCAGACCTACTAAGTAGAAACGTTAGCGACCAAGTCAGGTTTTATTCCAGGAACGTAGACACTTGTTTAACACTATTTGCTTCTCTACGCGCCGCAGCCATTCCGAACTTCTAGAAGAACATATTACTCCGACTCGGAGTTTAAGAGAGTTTTGTGTGCGTGCACATGTAAACTCGCACGCGCCAGAGGACACAGGTTATCTACTTGCGTACGAGCGGATTCCCTTCTCGTCTCTCATCTTTAGAACTGACAAATAATCCACATCGATTTCGTAGTAAACAATGATGCACGCGCAGAATTGTCATAATTCTACGTCCGGGATAGCGCAGTACCGGTGCTCTCGGTCTTTGCGTTCCACGGGGCGGCCGTTTCAATAAGTAGGGACCTAGCCAGGTTTTATTCCGCAGCACGGGCGTAGTTGACCGGTTCCTGCCACGCCAAGCCTGTGCCACTACAAGCACGCAGTTATCATCGCACCTTCGATCATCCGCATAACTCTCAAAGTAAAGGTAACCTAGATGGCAACGTCAAATACAGTGATCGCTAACGCGGACACGATTAAACAAGAACTCACGTATAAACCCAAGGTGACGGCTGACGAGATATTTTCTAGTTTTCGCCTCCAAATTGGGTCATAAGGAACAGACATGGCAAAGTAAGCAAAATGTGTGCTCACTTTAACCACTGGCAAAGGCCAAAGGGCCGTTGCCCCCACTTACCTGATGGTTAGATTTTATACCTTTGATATTCGAGCCGGAAAGGCTATCTATCGGCACGGTCGGATGCTCGTGTTGGAATCACCGACATCGATCCCACTTCAAAACGCATCGGTATCGCCATCAACTTCTGAGCCAAACGACGTTGGTCTGCGTCGCCGAACCGACTCTGCCACCGGCGAGTAAGAGCCTGTGTCCCGACGAGAAGTCAGCACACATGAACAAGATCGAGAAATGAGAGAATCGAGTCAACCGAGGTAGGTAAACTCCTGGCGCCGAGCTCCGCACGTTTTCACCCCCCATCGACGTCTCTCATGTCGCCTCATCGCACAGTCGCCGTGAGGTCTCTGTCGACGCCTGTACCACGACCGGCGGTTGTGAGATCCCTGGCTCAGCGCTCAGCATCGAGTATGGGATGTCACAGCCACCGACATCGTGGTGTCAGCCCTTCTAAGTGTCAAAGCTGGGGCGTGTGGTATTGTTCCAGCGAGCTGTCTGTCGTGAGCATATACTATATCAACGATGTTAAATATTCTAACCGCTTGCCTTGTACTGTAGCCGCTTGCCAGCAGCAACGCTACGTACACCACGATATGAAGACCACAACGCACCGATGTGAACACTCACAATCTGCATCAGAGTAGAAGTGGGAAAGAAAGATCCGCGCAGGACGTGGAGCCCCCACCTTCTCGGTTTTCAGAAGAACGCGCCTCGGGCAACGAACAAATCGAAGATAACGACGAGGCGGTACCGAGAACGACGACATCGTTCCCAGCCAAATTCATGTTGATGCCGCAGCGACGCTTCCCTTGCACCGGTAATACTTCAGCCCTTTCGGGGCCACGTTTGATGCGACGGCTGGAGAGATGCTCGAAGAACCTGTGCGTAATTACACTATAAGCATACTGGCAAGTCGACAAGAACCACAGCCCAAGGCTGCGTAAAGGGCTATAAATAAGTGTCCGAGCTCGCAAAATGAAGTCGGACTAGGGATATGCGCTTAGCGCTCCCCGCACTGCGATCGTACCGCTAAGAAGGCGACTCCATGATGGGGAAGAAGCTGCGTGCACAGCGTCAGCTACTCGGTATCTTGATCGCGTTCGGATCTGTTCGGATAGCTAGATGTCTGCTTACTGTACACAACAGCAGGATACGCGAGACATCCGAATGCCATCATGACCATGACATCGTATGTCGAAAGTGGCCGATACGGCCGAGGCTGTGCAAGCCCAAGGTCAACAACATGCGGATGCAGACATCGATCAACACTTACCGTGAAGCATGATTGCAAGCGCGAATGTGTGGGCCGAGTTCCGCTTCACAAGGAGGGATTGCTGTGCATCATGGCGTTCGTACGTCTGCTGCAGTGAGATGGTCAGTGTGTAGTCAGGGGGTCGCGCGATTCCTGTGCTGACGTCGTATCGGGCAGTGAGATGGCACCGCTGCCTCCGAATGGGATGACGCTGTGGAGGTTTCTGGGAAGGCCACGACTGGGTTATCGGACGCGAGGATACGAGGATGTCGTCGAGACAAAGTGAAGGTGAGGGTAATGAAAGGATAGAGGACGGCGGCCGGGGTCCGAGTGATGTCGATGGTCGCTTGGTCACACGGCGAGGCAATTCTGATGATGCCAAATATAACCCACGAGTTCACATACCCAGCCCGGGATCGATCTGAGGGTACAAAGTGTTTGTTTATCTTGGACGAGGCGGGAAAGAGAGCAGTATAAGTACAGTGTTGCAGATAAAGGGAGAGCTGCAAGAGAGTGAGGGGAGAGGTAGTAAATAAAAGATGGTTCCGTGACGTCGACAAGTTAAAGAGGCAGATTGACAGGGGAGTCGAGGCAGAGGAAGTCAGAATCTGTCCCTGACAACGGGACAACGTCGACCAGTTATAACCCGATCGTGTTTCCCATTCACCCGCTCCAGTGGACAGGCGCCCTCTTTTCGATTTCTTCTACTTGTTGCTTTCTTTCTTCTTATTTTCTATTCTTTTATCCTTTCTTCACGACCACTTCTTCGTTCTTCCCCGCGTCCGGCACGCCCCTTTTGTCTTCCACCAGCACATTCTCTTAGCCCCTGACCTTCATCCATGTCGCTCTCTCTCAAGGCTGAACTCGAAACATGGGCAAACGCCCTCAAGGCCTACGATGCCCAGGACTTTGACGGTGCCCTCGAGCTCTTTGCTGTACGTCTCACCCATCCATCTCTGCTCTCCATCTCATGGGACCCGCATATAACAGCGTGTCAACGACTCGTCCAAGATCCTCTTTAACATGGGCCTCATCTACGCTACCGTCGGCCAGCACGAACTCGCCGTCGAGCAATTCACCGCTGCCACCCAACTCGACGTCTACCTCGCCGTCGCGTGAGTGTCTTCCTATCCATCTCCCCTCCTTCCTCTCGACACCTCTGCGCACCATATTAGTGCTCTGCAGCGGAGCCGCCTGTCGGCCCCGTATCCAGATACCGTCGAGATGGCGATTCACAATCTCCCAAGACGTGCCTCCTTTCCTTTTCCTGGCCTCTTTGAGTTGACCCATCGCGACTATTGTCTCCGTGCTGACCACACCCGCAACTCTTTACAGTTACTTCCAATCCGGCGTCTCCAACTTCCTCCTCGGCCGATTCGACGTCGCCCTCCGCGACTTTGAAGAGGCCCTCCTCTACCTCCGCGGCAACCAGGCCATGTGCGTGTCACCATCCCCACTCCCTCGTGACTACTAGGCACTGACACCATGTTCGTATCACACAGCAACTACGAACAGATCGGACTCAAGTTCAAGCTCTACTCCTGCGAGATTCTCTTCAACCGCGGTCTCGCGAAGCTCAACCTCGGCTACCAGCAGGACGGCCTCTTCGACCTCCGCGAAGCCGCCAAGGAAAAGGTCACGGACGAGCACGACGTCATCAACGAGGCCATCCGCGATGGCGGCGAGGGATACACCGTTTTCTCCATCGTGCGTTATCTTTCTGCTATTTTCCGCGTTGTCTTGACTCATCGTGACCGTGCAATAGCCCGTGGGCGTGGTCTACCGCCCCTCGGAAGCAAAGCTCAAGAACTCCAAGGCAAAGGACTACATGGGCAAGGCCAAGCTCGTCGCTGCCTCGAATGACGAAGACGCGTTCATCGAGTTCACTGGTGTTGCACGCAAGCGCATCGCCATGGGCGAGGAGATCCCTTCGCTCGGCCGCTCGCAGACCGCGCCTGCACCCAGTGCGTGCCGTCACTCTTCTCACCTTTCCAAGGTTATCTGACTGTTTCCTTCATCACATAGAATCCAGCCCCATCGAAACCCGCCCCCCGATATCGCTCGACCGCGCCAACACGACCATCAACGTGCGCACCGACTCTGCCCCTTCCGCACCCTCAGAACCGCGCACAATCCGGCAGCCCCTCGGCGCAGGCGCGCTCAACCTCAAACCGACCCAGCCCCTCGTCTCGCGGCGCTCGCAGTCCATCTCCAACCTCGCCGAGGTCCGCACAACGGGCACTGGCACACTCTCGCGCACCGAGAGCACCATCTCGTCGTTCGCCGCCGGCCAATCCTCCCCCTCCGGCTCCGCCGTGCGGCCCTTGGGGCACACGCGCAGCGCAACCGCTACCCCTGCGACACTCAGCCCGCTGTCATTCGGCAGCGGCCCCGCGCGGCGCCCGCCTGGGCCGCCGGCTGCACTGCAGCCTGGTGCTGGTGCTGGGTCGCCGTCGAATGCGATGAGCCGCGGTATGAGCGTGCGGCGGGTGTTGCCTGCGCCTGGGGGATCGAGTTCCGTCCCGGCGTCGACGAACGGAAGCCCGAGGGAGAGTTTCGCGACGCAGCCGCTTGTGTTGCCTGGTGCTAACAGCAATAACAATGTGGTGACGCGTGCGGCGACGCCTCCGCGCGAACGTGAGTTCTCTTCTTATGCCCTACGAACGAATTTGGCTTAACAATATCCGACAGTGCCCAAGCCACCCCGCCAGACCGACTTTTTCGACGACTACATCAACGCCTACGACTCGCGCTCGGACGCGACACAGTCGCTCATCCTTGGCCCGTCCTCGGCGCAGTCATCGCCTGCTCAGGACCGCCCGCTCATGCTGCCCGCCGTGCCGCGCTCGCAGTCCCCGGCTTCGCAGGCGCCCGCACCTACCGCGGTTGGCTTTGTAATTCAACAGCCCCCGCGCGAGCAGCAGCAGTACCAGCAGCAGCAGCAGCAGCAGCCAGCCCAAGTACAACGCGCGCTCACACGCACCACCACCGCCGGCGGCTCCCTCCGCCGCAAGCCCACACGGCGCACAACCACCTCCCGTCGCCAGCCCTCCGTCTCCCGCTCGCGCACCACCGTGTACGAAGACGAAGAAGAAGGGTACGGCTCGGGCGGCTCCGCCGCCTCCGAATTCGAACTGTCCACAATCCGCATCAAGCTCTTCTACCAGGGCGACGTGCGCGGGATGACGATGCACCCCGCGACAGCATGGGAGGAGTTCGTCGAGCGCGTCACGCTCAAGTTCGGGACGGCGCTCGAGGGCCTGGGCATGCAGTTTATGGACGAGGACGGCGTGAAGGTCAGTTTGAGGGACGAGTCGGACTTTGAGCTGGCGATTGAGACGGCAAGGGAGGCGGGGAAGGGGAGGCCGGAGGGCAAGTTGCAGGTGTGGTGCACGGATGTGTGAGCGGTGGTGGTTGGTTGAGTTTGGGGGTTTGTGGTGTCTATGCGATCGTGGGCTCCTGCCATAACGATCTAATTTATCTTGGACCGGGGTACTTATTGTCATGGGTTGTCATTTGCTCATTATTACGGCGTATTTCTTGCTTTCGTTCTTCCTGAGCGCACATACTTATTGTTGGTCCTGTACATGCAGAGTGTTGGGAATATAGTCAGGACTGCTTCGGGCTGGTGCCTGTGTTTCCCATGTTGGTGGTGTTTGAGCTGGACATGTATGGTGTTGGGACAAAACAGTACCGAGTACTGAAACGCCACAACTCTAGGGGCTGTCGGGGTGATGCAATTCATCACGGCTTCAGGCGGTTCTTGACAACGAACCATCATAAGACAATAAACAGCCGCATCTCAAAGGTTCGTGCGTCACAAAGACATAGCCATGACCTTTGCTATCGTTCGTTGTCACCGGCTGGTCTGCTGCCGAGACCAAGGGGACGATGCTGTGCAGATCGGTGTAAACGCTCTTGACCCCGAACAGTCAGCACGATGAACGAGCCAGCTGTAGTATGTGCGCTAGCCATATTCTTTGTGTGTAACTTTTAGCTCATTCTGGATGTGAATTCGGGTGACGCAAAGGTCATTGATAGCGGCACTGACGCTTGCAAGGCAGGCTGTGAGTGGCTGGATGAGACATTTTCGAACGTTTAACGGTGTTAAAGCTGGCTTCTTCTGTAGTCGCAGGTAAGCTGAATCCATTAACACTACGTGCGAGCTTCTTTGAGTGTGTCATCTTTATTTATCAAGGAAACGAGCGCCCTTCTGCGTTTGTACCATCCCTTCTCGCTCGTCGAAAGGGAACGAGAATCAGCGCCACCGCAAGCGAGACGTTCATCGGGTACATCACTCACGTTTTGACCTCTCCACCATAACTGATACATATCACCCATAGCTCCGCAGCCAGTCTCAAGCTCTCCACCTCCCCAGACTACCGTTCCCTCCGTCCAATCGAATATGGCAGAATCACAGACTGGAACGCGGCAGAAGCGCTCTGGCGCCACACCCTCATTGACGAGCTACACATCCGCCCGGACGACCGCGCCATCTTGATGACAGAAGCACCGCTCACTTCCAAGCATGATAGGGAGAAAACCACACAAACAATGTTCGAATCCCTCACCGTGTCCGCGCTGCACATCGCCACGCAACCCGAGCTCGCGATGTGCGCGTCAGGCCGCGGCACGACGGGCGTCGTAGTCGACTCAGGGGACGGCGCAACACATGTCGTCCCCGTCGTCGACGGTGTGGCGGTGGAGAACGCTATCACAGCGCTGAACATCGCAGGAAGCGATCTGACGGACTACATGGCCTACAGGCTGAACGAGCGCGGCATCTCGAGGTTTGAGTGGCGCGGTGCGTGGTCCGAGGGTCACGCCGTTGCACGTGAGATCAAAGAGCGTCTTTGCTACGTCGCCGTGGATTGGGAAAAGGAGGTTCTCAATGCGAATGTCCAGCATTCTGAGGATGATGAGGCGTTTGAGTTGCCGGATGGCCAGAGTCTGGCTGTAGGGAACGAAAGGTGTGCTCTATATATCCGCTCAGCGTTGATCAAGCTTACTAAAGACAATCACTAGGTTTTACACAACGGAAGTTCTCTTCCAGCCGTCCATACTGGGTCTAGATGTCGCTGGTCTCCAATATACAACGTGAGTATCCACACGAAACGATGAACTGACTTCACGAGAGCTCATGGCTCGATAATCTCGCGTCTAGGTACAACGTGATCCACAAATGCGATACCGACCTCTACGGCCCATTATTCGGTAACATTATTCTTGTTGGTGGAAACACGATGTTTCCAGGATTATCTCAGCGCTTTAAGTCAGAGCTCACATCACTCAACCACGATCCGAACACCAGCATCGATGTCTACGTGCCTCCTGACCCCAGAGTATCCGTCTGGATCGGCGGTTCAATTGTGACGTCGCTCAGCACCTTCAAAGACATGTGCGTCTCAAGGACGGAATACGATGAGGTTGGGCCAGCTGTTGTCTATCGTAGTAGGTTTATGATTTATCCTTAGAACATATCAAGGCGCTATATATTGATTGAACTCGATTTAAAGCTTCTGCCACCGCAAGTTCCGCGTAAAGACGTACCGCATCGCGGCTCGAAGTCGGTCTTCATTTTGGGACACGGTTGAGCAGGCACGAACTGTAGAACGTGCTCAGCTCTTATGCAGAAAGCTACAGCACATTCGGTGTGTCAAGACTTGATTAGAATGAGGACCCAGTGGTCTCAAAGAAGTAGCAAGTGAACTCACATTGGCAAGTACATCTAGAGACCTGGACCAGAGTTACAGCTCAAATGAACGCTACTCTATCTCTCTATTGATATTAGACCCGAAACCCCAGGGCCCAAATACGCCCTCTCGCCTCGAGCAAGGCACTGATGAGAGCTCGCAGACCGACTAAAAATTCCCAGATGAAGTCAAAAGCCGGTCCTTGAACGCCTTGCGCGCCCTAGCAAGCGATCGGACACTGGATTTCTTGCCACTGTAATGGTCACTTCTCAGGTAGAAGAGACCATCGGATAGTGTCTCGGAGATGGTGAGAACGGAGTGCATCTTGAGTTCTCTATTCAGCTGAGGGATTGACTTGCAGCAAGTTTTAGATGGTGCACTTGAGAGCGCGAGCAGGCTGTGTGGGCAGGCGCTTGAAGGTCTGCATGAAGATGTTCGGTAATGTTGATATTGATGTACATACAAACTAGGTAAACGAGTGAGCTAAGTCATTAATGGCAGTCTTGCGTCCGATCAGACCCGATACTCCAACGATCCACAGGGTCGTAACTCAACATCCATCCTCTCTCCCAGTCCCTTTCCCATAATGTAAAAGTTCCGCGCGCTAGGTACGAATCCCTGCGGGCCAAACGCACCCTCTGACTCAACACGCTTCGCCCTCTTCCGTACCTCTTTGAGTCCGCGGCCAACGTCCGCGTCCTGCGCCTCCAAATCAGTGACGTTCTTGAAAAGACTTGCCAGCAGAAGCCCGAGAGCGACGCAGCTAGGAACGATAGGGGAGATAAGAGCGAGATGCGTGAGCGAGGTATTTCGTCCCAGGGAGGTCTCCCCTTCCTCGTACCACCTCGCTTGGTGAGCAGCCCAGTAGGGAGGCACGTCTTTCGGCTCTCCGATTGACCCGGAGTTGATAGTAACCGCGAGTGAGGTTATGTGTGGGCAGTAACGCGCGACTGCAATGAGCCCATCAACTGTAATCAACGAGTGTGGAATCCCCCAACCACATCTCCGGTTGAGCTCAAATGTCTTCAGCCTAGGCCATGCGCGAGCGATGCATTCGAGGTCGGCGTCTGTCAGTACAATGGGATGGGGTAGATCAAGCTTGAGATGTTCCAACGCCGCGAATGATGTAAGCAGACGAAGCGTGCCTAAGGTCACTGGAGGTTCGCGTGGGTTAGTAGGGACGGCAATACCGGAAACTAAGCGCAAGGTGGATAAGTGGTTAATGGTGTTGTTGCCGAGTTCAAGCAAGGAGCGTGGGAAGTGCCGAAGGCTGTGGGCAGCTGTTTGTGGCGGCATTAGCCGATTTGGCTGAGGTTGCATAATAGCTCGCATAGGGCCGCATCTCGATTTTCTCTGGAATCCGATTCATCGCCTGCAAGAACCTCAGCCCGTCGCCAAGGTCGTCCACTGTAACTACCACTGAACGCAGGTTTAGAAAATCAAGCCTTTACTGAGGCACTTCCAGCAGACGGTTTAATGCCACACCGATGGAGTTATGCAGTGTGAGCTCTTCAAACTCTTGCATCCCCCCCTACCGCCCTGAGTGTATTGGCATCCATATGAGAACAGTCTAGAGTCTTGATCCCTCTTCCTGTTGAAAACGAGCGTATAATTTGGCAAAACTGAGTTTCGATGGCTCGGCAGCGGTTACCTGATGCACTTCCTGACCATTTGTGACTTAGCTTGAGTTTTGTGAGGTTCGGAAGTGCATCCCGGCGGAGCGTGGCTATCTGAGCAGGATCCATCGGCGTATATTCAGTGACGCTCAGATAGAGGCCTTCAAGAGAGCACAGAGGAAGGAAGCCGAGGAGATTCAAATCGGAACCTCGGAGACAAAGGTTCCGAAGTCTGGGGAAGCCGCAGGTACCAACGGTGAGTGGGGGAGAGGCGAGGCGAGTGATGAAAGGGAGCATATACGGCGGGGATGGGTCAACCGACATAATGAGATTGAGATTGCGCACACGAGACGTGTGATTAAAGATGGCAAACCAGTCGTCGTGCGAGAGGACACCGATATCGACCTATCCATGGTTGGGATCGTTAGCAGATAGAATATAAAGTCAACCTGGGATATGGAAACTCACGATACGGCCGCGGTTATCCCGTACTAGCGCATGCTTGGGCAAAAGCTCAAGTAACTTCTCAAGGCCCCATAAAGACTCCCAGATGAAGTCAAGCGCAGGAGATCTGAACGCTTTGCAAACTTTGGCAAGTGCTGGAAGATGGGATTTCTTGACGTAGGGGGAAGCGTAGGGGGGCCAATCATCGGGTCTCTCTTTCGCCGTCATAGGTATATAGAAGAAGATCCCGGCGATAATTTCAGGTATGGCGAGGGCTGGATGCATGTTGAATGTATGATAGCAGAGTTGACTGAGGACGCTGTGACTGGGATGAAGAAAGATTCGAGCGTTGAAAATATCGATGTAGCCGGTGGACGCGTTGTGTTCACGTTGTCTTTTACGTACGTTGTTCACGCGATAATTATGATCATGAACTGGCGCCGGCCATGAACTGGCTGGAAGCTGATCAAGACAAAGCGATAGTGTTCGGATGGTGTGTGAGTTGATAACACGATGTGTAGATTGCGTAGACTGAGGAGAGAAATTAAAGGCGTCGAGAGTGCTGAAATCTTGATTTGATGATTATATATGAACTCATGCATGATGGCTTTCTAGTTCGATGCACTCTGCAGCAGCCCTTGGCTAGGACGTACCATCAGATGACACAATATCGATTCATTCTGGAGCTATCCAACTATGGCCTTGAGGTCCAACAGCGCTGCTACGACCCTGAACCCGTTTAAATGTTTGAGCTCAAGGCCAGGAAGTTATGTCACCCTCCTTCAATATATCTCTGGTGAAGCCTCGGCCTTCCTACTTCATTAACACAAATTTTAAACGTCGATTGAATATATGAGTCAGCGCTACAAAGTGATTGTAAGTAGACTCATTGGTAGGCAAGTGAAAGCAGAAACCTATACTTCGAAGTTGATGACCAGCCACAGATCAGATTTGCCATCCTACAGAGCTATCAGAGGAAAGAGGCGTCAGTGCCTTCACCAATGCTTTGATGTTCCATGCATCAGGTCCAGATCCCCAACAACTAAATACGCCCTCCGCCTCCATACGTCTCACCACCTTTATTCCTTGATCAACCGCTGTACGTGAATTTCGTTCATATAGAAACCCAGAATATAAACTATCGAGGTTCGCAAAGAGACTCGCGAGCAGGAGTGCAAGTACCATAGGCTCCGAAATAATTGAGCCATGAGAGATGTCGATCCGCCAAAGGTGGGCATTCCTTCTCAAGTCTGGCTCCCCATCTACCAGAGACCTCGCGGAAATATTGGCAAAGAACGCAGGCATGTCGCTCAATCGGAGTGCCGATGCGTCTATAGGAAGCGTGAGCGAGGCAAGGCGTGGGCAGTGCCGCGCGAGCGCGATGAGCCCAGTAGCCGTGATCAGCGGGGATTTGCCCCATCCGGCTCCCCAATTAATTTCGAAGGTATGGAGTTTGGGCCATGCGCGAGCAAAGCGCTCGATGTCAGCGTCAGTGAGCGAGAAGGGAAGGTGTAGATTGAGGACGAGACGCTCCAACGATGCAAAAGATGTGAGCGGACGAAGCGTGTCGACATTTACCGGGGATAAGTCTGCGTTTAAGATGTCCTCGTCAATCACTCTCAGAGAGAATACACGCTTAATTTCCTTGTCGCCAAATTCGAGCAAGGTTGAGAAGAAGTGCTTCAAATCGTGTAATGATGGCGACTCCAGGAACACTACAATGTCTCTTGGAAGCCGGTCCATCACCTGTAGAAACACTATCCCGTCTTCGAGGGTTTCCACCCGAAGCTCAATTGAATGCAGGTTCGCAAATTCAAGCTTTGGTTGAGGGTAGACCTGAGCCATTTTAAGGAGGTGAATCAGTGTTGCGGATATGGTGTTGTTCAATACGAGTTCTCGCAGCCCCCGCATCGCTCCTACCAACCTCAACGCGTCTACATCTAGCGGAGGACAATCGAGCACCTCTAGTCCTCTTCGTTGGGAGAACGAGCCTATCACTTGCATGAGTTGGACATGCGCGGCTTGAAAAAGTTCTCCGTCGTTGTCGCCCTCGAGATCGAGATCGGGATCGGACAGTGATAACTTGAATCTCCTGAGTTTCGGGAGCGAATTGTAGAGAAGTGCTGCCACCTGAGAATCATCCATTGAGGTAGATAGGCACAAGTCGAGATCCTCAAGACCATCCGTAAGAAGAAAGCCGAAGGGTGTGTCAGAATCTCCAACAATCAGACGACGAAGTTTGGGGAAGGCGCATGGACAGATCGTGGGGGGTGGAGAAGCGAGGATGGTGGTGAGAGCGAACCCACATGGCGCAGCGCCCACATCGAGATGGAGGTCGCGCACCCGGGAGGTATAGGTATACAAGTGAGACCAGTCGTCGCGTGTAATCATGAGTGGGTTAATATCGACCTATCCATGGAGACAGTTAACAGATGATGGGGATACACAATCAACTTTAGCTAAGGATACTTACGACGTAGTAATGATCATTCAGCACGAGCGCATGCCTAGGCAAGACATGGGCCAACTCCCCAAGGCCGATACGTCCTGCCCATATGATATTGAGGGCAGGGTCCTTGAATGTCTTGCACGTCCTAGCAAGGACTGGGAGGGCGGACTTCTTGCGATGGCCAGGAAGGAACTGCGGGTGCTGTACAAAAGTAAGGATATTGGATAATATTTCGGATATGGTGAACACTGGATGCATCTCGAGGGTATGTTATGCGGCGTCACTGAAGAGAATGCGCAAGCATAAGGTTGGTTGTTGGAAGAGGTGGATTTGTACACGTACATAATACTCGACCCATGTGCCCATGTGGAGTTGGCACAACAATCTCTCTGCATGAACCAACGCTGAAGCGCTGAACGCTGTCCTGAACTGACAACATAAGTTGGAGACATGCGCGATCTCGGGCTGTTGTGGGATTTCGAGAGGCTGATACAGGTGTAGGTTTGACGATTTGAGCTGTCAACCGAGCTGTCCAACGGCGAACGGAATTGATGGCACCGATGAATCCGACAGTCCGACTTGCTCTGCAGCGCTCAACAGCGCAACCCACCTCCATCCCACTCCCAGCCTAATTGCTTCATTTCACAGCTGAGACACGGCCGGTGCCATCGTTGTTTCGATCTTTTCGGCAAATCCAAAACATCGTACTTGTACATAACCCGCACGTCCAACGCCCAGGGCTTCCCACCACTGACAAAGTCGAGTCATCCACCGCCACCCAGACACGTCCCCACCTCTCCTTTCCTCCTCGACCATGGTTTCCACTTCCGAGATGCTAGCTAATGCTCCCACCCCATCTGGCTCCTCGACCAACGACGTTCCGACGCTCCCCTCCCATCTGCTCGAGCCCATCGACGTCTTCATGATCGACAACTTCGACTCCTTCACCTGGAACTTATACCAATCCCTCTGTCTCCTTGGTGCCCGCGTTACTGTCGTCCGCAATGACTTTGTCCCTATCCAACATGCAGCTCGTCTATTTGCGCAAATGAAGATCGGCAGGCTCATCATCTCTCCCGGCCCGGGCAACCCCAAGGACGACGCAGGCGTGTGCGAGGAGGCGATCAAGTATTGGGCCGGCAAGGTGCCGATACTGGGCGTGTGCATGGGTCTGGAAGTCATCGTGAACACCTATGGAGGAGATATTGCGTACGTCATGTGGTTATATGCGCTCTTGACCTGCTGCTGACAACGCATACACTCATCCCGTCCACTCGCATTTGTCTACCGCCTTACTATTCGACCGTCCAGTTATGCTGGCGAGATTATGCACGGAAAGCTATCACCTCTCACCCACGACAACCGGGGCATATTCCGCGGGCTCCCTCAAAACTTTATGGTCACCCGATACCACTCCCTCTCCGCCGCCCACTCCACCCTCCCATCATGTCTCGCACCCACCGCCGCATCCGACACAGGCGTCATCATGGGCGTCCGCCATCGTACGCTCGCGATTGCAGCGGTTCAGTACCACCCCGAGAGCGTCGTCTGCGAGCAGGGCGACGCGCTGCTCAGAAATTTCCTCAAGCTGAATGGCGGCGAGTGGAGAAACAATCCCGAATATGGCGTCGACGCAGGTCTCCCTCCCTTCCCGGTTGAAGTACTCGCCCCGTCGCAGGCTGTCAATGGCTCAGCCGGGAAGCTAGGCACGAACGGGTCAGCAGTGGCGAAAGCCGCGCCAAGCATCCTCGACAGGATCTACGCCCAGCGTGCCCAAGACATCGTAGATGCGAAGCTTGTTCCAGGGCACGCTCCCGCCTTCCTACGTGCACAAATCGCACGTGGTGCATCTCCAGCCCTCATTGATTTCCCTGCCCGGCTCGCGCAGTCCAAACCTGCGCTCATGGCCGAGATCAAGCGCGCGAGCCCGTCCAAAGGCGACATCGCCCCAGGTGCCGACGCCGGTGCACAGGCGCTCGCGTACGCACTCGCCGGCGCGGCTGTCATCTCCGTGCTTACTGAGCCGACGTGGTTCAAGGGCACCCTTGCCGATCTTCGGGCTGCACGTCTCGCCGTGTCGCACCTGCCCAACCGGCCCGCGATTCTCCGCAAAGAATTCATCCTAGACGAATACCAGATAGACGAAGCGCGTCTTGCAGGCGCGGACACTGTCCTTCTCATCGTCGCCATGCTTCCTCCCCATCGCCTGCAGGCTCTCTATGACTATTCGCGTTCACTGGGGATGGAACCCCTCGTTGAGGTGAACAACGCCGCCGAGATGAAGGCAGCCTGCAAGCTTGGTGCAAAGGTCGTCGGCGTAAACAACCGTAACCTGCACTCCTTCGACGTTGACATGTCCACGACCGGACGGCTCGCAGCACACGCACCGCCAGGGTCTATCCTCTGCGCGCTTAGCGGGATAACCGGCCCGGCAGACGTGCGCGCCTTTGCTCGCCAAGGAGTAGGCGCCGTCCTAGTCGGCGAGAGCCTGATGCGGGCGAAGGACACCGCCGCATTCATCCACGAGCTGCTCGGAACGCCCAAGCCACCACCGACGCCTGCGTATAAGCCACTCGTCAAAATATGCGGAATCCGGAACAAGGAAGAGGCGCTCGCGGCGTCTCAGGCAGGCGCAGACATGCTCGGCCTCGTCTTCGCACCCAAGTCCAAACGTGTAGTCTCTACCCAGGCAGCACTTGAAATCTCCCTCGCCATACGCACACTACGTAGCTCCCCCGAAGCGCCAACACCGTCCCCGCTCATCCCTCGCCCAAAGGACAGCCAAAATCTGCCCTGGTTCGCCTCCCACGCGACACGTCTCGCGGCGTCGAAGGGCCGCCCGCTGCTCGTAGGCGTCTTCCAGGGCCAAACCCTCTCCGAGATCCTCGACGCCGTCGAAGGCGCGCAGCTCGACATGGTCCAGCTGCACGGGCGCGAGCCGCCCGAATGGGCACTACACATCCCCGTGCCCGTCGTGCGCGCGTTCCACGTCGAGACGCCCTCTTCCCCTCAACCAAACGGCTCTGCTGAGTCAAACGGAGCCTCGGAGAAAGCAAAGGAAAGCGGCCTTCGCGACGTCTCCTGCCCGGGCCTGCACAAGTTCGTCCTCCTCGACGCGATGCGGCCCGATAGTACCGGTCTCTCAGGTGGCGGAGGCAAAGTGCTTGACCTCGACCTCGCGCAGCGCATTGTCCGCGCGGGTGAGCTCGCGCCCCGCGTTGTTTCCTTCGACGCTTCACAGGCTTCAAACGGGACGGGCCAGGAGGAGCGGGAAGGCAGCGCTCTTCCGATCATTCTTGCTGGCGGGCTTACGCCTGAGAACGTCGGTTCTGTGGTGGAAAAGGTCAGCCCGTGGGCGGTGGATGTGAGTGGTGGCGTCGAGAATGCGGATGGTACGGGCAAGGATCTGGAGAAGGTAGCTGCGTTTGTTAAGGCCGTCAAGGGGTGATCGCAGCTGTAGAGGATGTGATATACTTGCATGATGTATGTTTTGCTTGCTTTATTTTGTCTTAGGTAACTTTACGTATTCTCATTGCGCTCTCATCAAGTCTCATTGGTGTTTGGTTTTTATACAGTGAACGAATGAGACTTTGAGAAAGGGTTGAACATGCCACAAGGCTCAACAGCAAAAAAAATCAGTAGTAAGCTTGGTAGTAAGCTCTTGGGGTACATGTTGGAGAGGATCCGTGACGCATTTCGCACGGGTGTGCACCCGATTCACGCAAACGGCGACGCGTAGTATAAAAGAATTCATTACGATCATCGGCTACTAATCGTATCGGACTGAAGCACTCGTCGCTCTGCTTCTTCCAACAAGTCCTGGAGGGTCCGCCAACTGCGCAGATTTTGTCACCAACTTTGATGCCTACCAAACGGCCGCTGTAAACCACCAACTCCGAGTGCACCACCGGAGATAAGTCTATACCGTCTCGATTATTGCAAAGAAATGTCGTTGCCTGGCGAGGACGAGTCGGCGCAAGCAAAGGAGTCGTCATAAGGATTGATAAAATGCGTTCTTGACTTCTGTTGATCCCATTTGGAGCAAGGACACTCGATTTCCTTCACCTTTTAACCAGTTTTAGGATCAACGATGAGCACGACAACACTTACATAGAATCCGGGCATAAACCATAAACCGTGTGTTATCATGGGAAAATTCAACATGCACCTCGTCATACTTGGGTGGTATAGGGACGGACTCGAAGAGTACTGTTTCTGAAAGCTGTAGGAAAGTAACTGAGTCGTAGATGCGGAGAAAAAGAACGTGGTCATCTCTCTGTAGGAACACGCAGGCAATCTTGGTTCCATCCAAGGAACATTTTGGGCGTCCTATCAGAATTTCTGTAGATGGACTAACGAGCTAGGTGTGTGTGTGCCATCCGATAGTCGCCATAAGCATAACCCGTTGGGAGACCGCGGGCCCCGACATCCTGGCCGCACGAATTTCTGGAAGATAAAGTATGAGCCGCCATGGGTGATGGTACCACGTGGGAACCATTCAGACTCTCTAGGAAGCGACCTGATGAGTAGTCTTGAAGCTGTGTCCCATATTCGAATAACCACTTCAGCAGCAAAGCGCAAGCTCTAAGGTGTCAAATGAGAGCGTCCATGTAGGGTGACTGTCATAGTAAGCCATACCCTCGTCGACTACGACACGTGTGATACACTCCCACTCCTCATGCAGCCCTTCTTCGAAGGAAAAGCACGATGCTTGTTCAAGTAAGTGCTGATAGGAGAGGCGGATAGTAGAATTTTCTGGACTGCAAGGGAGTGCAGACTCGTATACAAGAACTGACACGCTGATCGCATCGAAGAAATCCGGAGTCGAACACCAGCTGTTGTAAAGCAAGCCCATAGCTTCATCATGTTTACGCAGAAAAGATGGCTCCACCCAATCCTGTCGCGGTTATGATTAGTACATCAGAATGGAGATGGCGATACAAAACGTTACCTTGACGAGCTTTCTAGCAGCCCTAAACTGCTCGACTGCGGTTCCTGGCTCGCCGAAGACAAAAAGAGCCTCAATCATGAAAAGAACACGACGTTTGAGGAAGTCAAGAAGAGTGTCATGGATCCTGTCATTCGGGGACGTCTGTTCGAGATGGTATAGCCAATTCCGGCAAGCGTATCGAAGGTCATCTAGCCTGCATACGTCGCGTTTGAAGAGACTGGACAACGTACGGAAGCAACATGCCGTCAGGAGATTGTGTATTGAGGGGACAGGGATAGAGGACTGCTCGCGTTTGATCTGTTCACGTTTCTGCAAGAAGTCTCGGAGTGAAGCATGGAATATCTGGACCGGATCCGATGAATCTGTGGGAGGGATAGATACCATAGCTGAAAAGGGAAGGAGATAGGGCTGAACGTGATCGGAGAAGAGCTGATTCAAGTCAGCGAGGGCGAGTGGTTCGGCGAGATTGACGATGAGGGAGAGGTATTTGAGGCCTTTCTCTCGAACAGATGGGTCAATTTCAGCAATGATGGCGGTGTACAAATCATTGACGCCCCCCAGCGTGCGAGACACATTTCCACCGCGCAGCATATTGAACACGAGTGGGAGGCGGGTATGCGGCTGATCCTGGTCAATCTGGCGGAGGATGGTGGCTGCGAAGATGAAACGGCCGTTTGCTCGTGCCAATAGCATCGAGAAATCGGCAATGCTTGGCCACGGTGTCGAAACAAAGTCCGAGAGGTCATGAGCATCGTAAATCTCGTTGAAAGCGTGATGAAGGAAGGCAGCGACATCCTCGCGGGAGTCATACTCGTCGATGCTGATCACTTTCATGATGTCCAAAAGACTGCGGCGGCGCATGATCGACCTGATCTGAGGCCAGGTCCTGCTAGTGATGATGATATTGCGGATAGGAAGACTGTGTTTGCGTATGAGGCGGGCGAGCAAGGCGACGAAATCACGGATAGGAGTTTTACCTGTCGTAACGCCTTCATCGAGAGCATCAAAGATAAGAGACATGCCATCCTGACCTTCCCACACATGTACAAGAGCCTTTAGAGGCTCAATGACGAGTGCCTCGAGCTGATCCCTGCGCGATTTCTCGGTGGAGAGCAAGGCCGGGTCGTCGGCGATGGCCTTCACAATGATCTCTTTTGCAGTGGGATGGTGTATTCCCAGCTGATACGCGAGGGTGAGGAGGACATGGTCGAACGTGCTGCGCTTAGTATGTTTTCTGGAAAAAAAGAATGAAGCTGCGAGCCTGTTCGTATCTCTGAGTTCGTCTGCGAGGGTATGCGCTATCGTCGACTTTCCCGACCCCGACTCCCCGCAGAGCCACACGATCTTGTGCGCTTCGTCATCGACGAGTTCTCGGAGTTTCTCAAGTACGCCAGTCCTGGTCCCTGGAAGACACTTGGAGTGCGGCTGGCGCTCGTTCGAGTCGTACACAGCACCTTGTGCACATCCTTGAGCTAACTTCTGCCAATTGTCTTGATTCCCATGAATGAAATGTTAGTGGACTTCTGAGAAAAAAGGGAGGACGTACTCTGAGGGTCGTTTGCCATGGTGGTGGTAGTGGTTCAAAGGGCGGGTCGCACAGGCCTGCGACGCTGTGGCCTGCCATGGGCCGCGCGCATCATGCGGTTACTTCGGAGCGCTCGAGCGCTTGCTTTTGACAGTTCGTGGCTGGACTTCTGTCCGATCAGAATACAACCTGTAATAGGGCGAGGGTCAGTATTAAACATAAGCTTACCGAAGGTTTGACCAGTGGGAAAGGCACCGTGACGTTGTACAGTATCTTTATCCCAGTGCCAGAGGGTGATTAAGGCGCAAAGAGTAGAGGCGGAAGGAAGCTGATTCAATGTAAAGTCAGAGCTGCCCTTACATGTCTCCATCTGCAATCATGACGCTGCTATGTTGAGACTCACCACAGCTCGATGCAGGGCTATGATGAAAAGGTTAATATTTTAGTAGACAACTTACAGGGTCCTCGAGGGCCTCAAGCGCTTGTGGCGTTTTACAAGGTTGGCTTTTGTCCAAGACTTCTCACCGGTCCTCATTTGCCATATCTAAATCTTGAAAACGCCAGCATGCGGACCGAACTCATAAACGCGCCCTGGTATCAGCTGCCCAGTACTAGTGGAGTACAAACATGTCGGTAACTTGACGGATGCCGTGAGGATGTATGGTCAGTTGGGCTATATGGGCCAGATACTTCAAGTCGTTTGTCTTCAAGAAGGCCTTCGCTCAGTCCACACACCAAGGTCAGACGCGTGTGCTGTCCTCATCGGATTAGATGGAAAAGAATGGGAGGTCATCGGGTGGCAGGTGCTAACCGGGAGCATCCGAGTTTCCGATTCCCGATTGACGTACGACGCTACAGAGACCGATCACTTTCCATATTAAGTACCCCGCGACTCCAGGCAAATACAGAGCCACTGACCACGACCACAAAAGGTAAACCTCAACTATTGTACCCTTCGGGGTGACATACGTAAAAATTGGAACGATACAGAGAAGATTAGCATGGCCCCTGCACAAGGATGACACGCTTTTCCAGAGTGGTAGACCTACGGGTCTCAATATTTATTGCGTTTTTTTTCTTGAACTTTCTCATTGCAGACGTATGTCGCGTACGATGAACCAGCCAAACTGAACAATGCATTTGTTCACATTATAACGTGTATGAGTACAACGAGCACAATAGGCTTTCTTCATAACGTGTTTGTTCTGTGGATACATCATCCTAATTTCTGCACCACCTCGTCTACCGTCACCAAGACTATGCCCTTGCTCTTCATCTCCTCCCAGTGCTTGTCAATCTCGTCGGGCTTGATAGCCTTGGTCGCATCCGTGATGACCCATGTTCTATATTCATACCCCTCTCTGACCGCATCCATCGCCGTAAACTTGACACAGAAGTCACTCGCGAGACCCACAATGAACACATCCTTCACCGGCACCCTCTCCTCTCCCTCGTCTGCCTGCGTTTTCTCCACCTCGCTCCCGTCGCCCGATGCACGCGACTTCTTGTCAACCCTGCCTTCCTTTAAAATCCCGTCGAGCCCCGTCGGACACAGGCCCCACGGATCAATGAATGCAGAATAAGACTCAACGCCCTTGTGGGTGCCCTTGTGCACGACCGCGTCGAGGGCATCTACATTCAACCCGGGAGCGAGACTCTCCCCCGGTGTGCCCTGCACGCAGTGCACAGGCCACAGCGTCTGCTTCAGCGGGCCGAGCGTATCACGATCATGCTCGTCGGGGGCGAGGTCCTCTGGTGGGTGAATCTCAATGTCTGCGAACTCCTCCTTGCCATGCGTGCGCGCAAACGAGATGTGATCGGGCGGGTGGAAGTCCTTCGTTGCGATGCGGAGCGCGAACCCGGGGAGAGAAAGGAGCTTGTTGATGGTGGGCACGATGGACTTGCCGCCTTGCACGGCGAGCGAGCCGCCCTCGACGAAGTCGTTCTGCGTGTCGATGATGAGGAGCGCAGATTTGCCGAGGATGGCGGTTTCGAGAGTGTGTAGCGTAGTTTTGCGTGTCTCTCCCATGGCAGTAGGCTAGAGGCGATGGATTTCGGTGACTTGTGGAGTGGTGGCGAGTATGTTGTCGGTACGATAGTATAGGGAGGATACAAGAGCCGGAGAGATAGCGGATAAGCGCTTGCCCGAATTTCGTAGGATGTGAACGGATATGTACGTACCTTATGATGAAGGTATTTCTGGCGATGCTGCGTGATGCAAGCAAACTGTAATCGACGGTTGACTCTGAGTTTGTTCCTAGAGGGCCCGTGGATTCACTGCTTGTGAGAACGCACCTGTATACTTTCCGTTGTGGTGCTGCAGAGCGTTGCTGTGGTGCACTGCGATAAGCGTTGGTGGACGATAGGGGCACGATGACGTTATGGTGGTTTGTTGGACGGACGCGAACTGCACGTGCTAAGCATGCCGACGCGTCCGCCGGGCCGTACGTTCTCGACATATTTGGCACAGAAAACAGGTTGTCTCCTCGACCGCAGCAACCAACTCCCAGCTGTAGAGGAGGCAGCCTCCTTCTGACTCCCTCATAGTAACCACGCTTACCCCCCATAACGCCCCATCTCATTCTTTTCCGACGTCTGGTTTCGAACAACTTGAATAACATTGGGTCATGTCAGGATCCCTACGCAACCGCAAGACCCAGTCCGTCGCCGCCTCAGCCAGCGACTCTGCTCTCGTACCTTCACATCCCGCTCACGATAATGATGGAAAGGAGAGCGATGACGAGAGCGACACGCCAGGCTCGCCGAAGTGGAATGCCAAGCAAATGAGGCGCGAATTACGCCAGCAGTCTCAGCTTGTTGAGGCGCAGGCGCATACGGCTGTATGCATTCACACACTGCTGACGGTGTACTTTGCTTATGGATGGTGTCCGAGATAGAAACACGAACGTCCGATATACCGCAAAGCCCGCTTCCTCCTCCCCTTTGGCATCCTCAGTGCGTCTTTCCCTACGACTCTCCTTGCTTTCGCTCATTTCTCCCTCTCTTAACCATCTTTCCTGAACTCGTGTCCGACGCATACAGTTGGCGTCCTCATGGGACTCATCATCATGCAGCCCCTCGACCTGCGCGACTTCCATACACAGCTCCTTCTCTTCCTCGATGAATACGACTTCGCCGTCAAACTTCCCGACCTTGACCTCTCCGCAGTCGAGACAGAGTGGCTGCGCTTCAAGTCTAACATCCCTGAAGTCTGGAAACTCAACAATGACGGACGCGAGTTCCAGGTTGGTGAGGCTGCCAAAGCCAGGGGACTGACTGCAAAGCACCCGGTTGTATTGGTTCCAGGGATTGTGTCCACTGTGCGTCATTGTTCGTATTATACTGCTCTCCATCGCCTCGTCTCACCTTGGATGGACACGGCTCTGACATTGTGGGCGACAGAGTCTGGAGAGCTGGTCGACAGAACCCGAATACAGGACCTTTTTCCGCGAGAAGATGTGGGGCGGATTCAACATGATCACCCAAGTCACGTTCAACCGCGATCGCTGGATATCCGCCATGATGCTCGATCCCCACACTGGCCTCGACCCCCCTGGTGCTAAGGTGCGCGCTGCGGAGGGCGTTGCCGCCGCCAGCTCGTTCGTCCAGGGGTATTGGATCTGGTGAGTCCCGCTTTGGCTATTTCGATGATGTATGCGTAAACGTCGGCGATGGATAGGTCCAAGGTCATCGAAAATCTTGCGGTCGTCAACTATGATACCAACAACCTACATCTCGCACCTTACGATTGGCGTCTTTCACTCTCGAATCTCGAAGAGCGCGACGGATACTTCTCCAGATTGAAGTCCACTATTGAGGGTCTTCGGTGCGTATCCAGTCTAGTTCGCCCTCGTTCATGCGCAGAATAAGGTGGAGGCTAACCCCAGCCGAACAGGAAACGTCAGAAAAGCAAGGTGGTCATCGCGGCACATTCGATGGGCAGCACGGCAAGTCGTCGCCCTTTGCTGCGAATTAGAGTCCAAGCTGACTGAGTCGCAACATGAACTGTAGGTAATGCTGGTGAGTACGCTGCCCCTACCATCAGGATTCATACGCATATACCTACACTACAAACTATCCCTAGTACTTGTATGTCCTTGTCCGTCCTACCCTCCCTCACATGATCGTAGGCTCATAACGTCGTTTCGTCAGCTTCAAGTGGGTCGAATCGCCAGAGCACGGGAATGGCGGGCCTGATTGGGTCGAGGTACTGTCTTGTTGAGCGCATTACGGGAATAATATTGCTGACGGAATTGCGTTCAAATCAAGAACCATATCGAGACCTACATCAGCGTCGCCGGAACGCACCTTGTAAGCCTTTCCCTAATTATAATTTGAGCTCGTCGCATCAGAACATCTGGCTAACGCAAGATTTCAGGGCGTGGTATGTCTCCTCGTCTCGATGTCTGAAAACGTGCTACATACACGAACTATAGGCAAAGGCTATGTCCGCCTTCCTGTCGGGCGAGATGAAGGATACGGTGCAAATGAATCCTGCGGGCGCATACGGTATGTTACCATCTTTCTCTCGCCTTTTCTTCTTTCACAGCTTCCGATTAACCTTGCCCGGGCTAACGCTTGCGCGATATCCAGTGCTCGAGCGTTTCTTCTCGCGCAAAGAACGGCAAAAGCTCTTCCGCAGCTGGGCGGGCAGTGCGAGTATGTGGATCAAGGTGCGTCTTCTCTCCTCTTCGCTCTCACCCTCCTATCTCCCCGAAAATCACGTATACACCCCATGCCAACTCGTTTCTACCCCGCAGGGTGGCTCAGACGTATGGGGCAACACCTCTTTTGCGCCGGACGACCCAGCAGACGCAACTCACACGCACGGCGAATTAATTGCTTTCCGGTCCCTTGCATCATCGACAGTATCCACGTCCTCTATTCTTGACGGTGCGGGCGTCTTTGGCGCAGCAGCAGCCTCCGCTGAGACCGGCCTCATGGAAGAGACAGGCACACGCAACATGACTGCAGACGAAGCAAGCACTTGGATCCTTGAGCGAACGCCGTCTGCGTTCCAGAAGATGATTGACACAAACTACAGTTTCGGGATCGAGCGAGACGAGGAGGTGCTAAAGAGGAACGATGGAGACCCAACGAAATGGAACAATCCTCTCGAGGTCCGGTTAGTCGCCTTGCCTGTCTCTTTCTCTCTCTTTTTTGTATTTTTCTCTATTTGTTTTTTCGACCTTTGGTATTTTTTGGTGGCTGTCTTATTAAATCCGACGGGGACGGCAGGCTACCAAACGCACCGTCAATGCGTATCATCTGTGTATACGGACATGGCAAGGATACCGAGGTGCGACCTCTGTCTCACGCTTTCCCCGCTTCTAACAACGTATCTGCTTGTCACAGCGTTCATACTGGTATGCCCACGGCCCGCAAGCATATGGTGACCTTGCCGTCGACGCAGCCACCACTGAGCCCGTATGCGACGACACTGAGGACGCTGAGGATGACGCCAGTGGAACAGAGTGTAGCTCTCGCATGCCGCTCGAGCTTCCGCTTGCACAGACGAGTTGGATTGACTCGGAGTACACGGATGAGAGCGTCGTGCCTAAGGTGTGTACAAAAATCTCCCAGCGCCTCGAAATGTGCGAGGTTATACCGGGCGCTCATCATCAGTGGCGTTGATCATGGACACAGGTCAGAAACGGCGTGAAGATGGGAGAAGGTGACGGCACTGTATCGCTCCTCTCTTTAGGTGCAATGTGCGTCGAGGGGTGGAAACGCCCACGATGGAACCCGGGCGGCATCAACATCACGACGGTTGAGGTGTGCCTTTTCCCTTTCCCGCCTTTATCGCTCTTGCCCTTCCTTTTTCATACGGCTGATGTGGACTTGCTGATGACAATCTCAGCTTCCGCACCGTCCGGTTCCCACCATACCTCGCGGTGGCGCGAATACGAGTGACCACGTCGATATCCTTGGTTCGACGGGTTTGAACGAGATTATTCTCAAAGCGGCGACGGGCGCGGTGGAAGAAATCGAGGACTCATTTGTGTCACGAATACGAGAGTATGCGGCACGAATCAAGTGGGACTAGACGCAGCCGTTGAGATGTTACAAATGGAAATTGGATTACGACGCTGAGCACACAACATTTTTTGTGTGTATAACGAATATATCTCACATGATCCTTGAATTTCGGAACAACCAGATACATGATCCTCGAGAACCGGAATGGCTAGCTGCATGATCCTCGAGATTCGGAAGGACTGGCAGGTTGATATCCAAATACTGACTTTTGCGGTTAGCTTCGAGAGGTGATCTCGCGGTGCGAAAGAGGAAGAAAGCGTTCTTTGCTTCACCAGGAGTATAAATGCCATCTAATCTTTCCTTGAAGGTCATCATCTCTTCCTCTCTTCCTCTCACCTCACATAGATCCAGTAAACATGTCTTCTTTGCCGCCTCAGGTAGGCTCTACTTTTCATACCCACTCTCCCGCTTGACTCTCGTGTCTATGCACCTCGTTCGCGTATAACATAAAATCGAATCGCTGACATATCATCACCCAAAGCACGTCCAAGTCCTTATCATCGGCGGAGGTCCGGCCGGTAGCTACGCCGCTTCCGCGTTGGCGCGCGAGGGCCTTGAGGTCGCCGTCTTAGAGTCGGCGCAATTCCCGAGGTTCGTTACTTATGCTACCATGGCTGATTATGTAATACACCGCCAGCTAACGAACGCAATTACCGGACACAGATACCACATTGGCGAGAGTCTGATCCCATCCGTTCGACACTATTCGAAGTTCATCGGTGCCCAGGAGAAGCTCATGCAACATGGGTTTGCGCCCAAGGTGCGTCGAGTAATCAAGAGCGCAAGTATGTGTCATTCATTTTTGGACTATTACGTAGCCCGGTGCCGCCATCAAGTTCGCACAGTTCAAGACGGAAGGATGTTCGTCTGCATGTCTATTGTCCTGCCAGAACCTACTGAGTGACACTATGTATATACAGACACCGACTTCACCGCAGCTAGTCCGGACAACAGCTCCTGGAATGTCGTACGTTTCTTCTGGCTTTTCATGATCAATGCGTTCCGTAATCTCATGCATTTTATACTCAAGGTCCGCTCCGAATTCGATCATATTCTTCTTGAGCACGCTAGCTCGTGTGGCGCATCTGTGCACCAACTGACGCGTGTCGACGAGCTTCAGTTCTCTCCTACCGAACCTGACAGGCCGATAGCCGCTTCATGGACCTCTTCTCTCCCTGCAGGCGAGTCTCAGACGAAAACCCAGGGCACAACGTCATTCGACTACATCATTGACGCGTCGGGTCGACGTGGCATCCTCTCTACGACTTACCGCAAAGATAGACGTATGGCTGAGAGCCTGAAAAACATCGCGATATGGGGCTACTGGACCGGGACTCGCCACTATGGCGAGGGTACGTCGCGAGCGGGCGCACCGTGGTTTGAGGGCTTGGACGGTTTGTCTTTCTCTTCCCTTTGCTTCTTGTCTCATTACTAACTAATAATACAGACAGGTCAGGCTGGGCATGGCACATCCCTGTGAACGACGGCACCGTCTCAGTCGGCGTCGTGCTCGCTCAGTCGGCGTACACCGCCATGTCTCGTTCCCTGCGCGACGACGGCTCGGCTTCCTCCCTCGAAGACAAGTACCGATCTATACTCAAACTCGCGCCCGGCCTCATGAAGATGCTCGAGAGCGGCACCCTCGTTCCCAAGAAAGGCGCCGGAGAACAAAAGGAAACCAGAGTCAGAATGGCGAGCGACTTCAGCTACTCTGCCGAAGGCTACGCAGGACCAGGGTACAGAATCATTGGCGACGCCGCTGGTGGGTTCATCTACGCTGCATGAATACAAAGCATGATACTGAGGTGTTGGGTATAACAGCGTTCATCGACCCCTTCTTCTCGTCGGGGTGCCATCTCGCGTTTACGTCTGCTCTGTCCGCTGCAGCCTCGATCTGCGCCTCGGTACGTGGCGATTGCACTGAAGCCGAGGCAGTGGCCTGGCATAGCAAACGCGTTGCAACGAGCTACACTCGGTGTGTCAAGCTCTCCCCGTTCTTGGATAGGCGTGAAGCTGAACGAGTGGTCTGCGACTGTAGCTTCCAGGTCGTCGTGCTCAGCGCATACAAAGAAATTCGTGGTGAGAACATCGACGCATCGGGCGACGTCGACGTGGAAAGCTTCCAACGTGGCCTCGCTATCATCCGTCCCCGTGGGTTTCACATATCTTTAAACCGAGTTAACTGATACTGACATCGAGTTATCAGTGATCCACGGCGCCTCTGATGTCGGCACGCGGCTTACAGCCGCAGAAGTGGACCACGCGCTGAACTTCTGCTCCAAGGCCTTCGGACTGACAACTCCCGAGCAGCGTGAAGCCGTCGCGGAGCACTCGGGCTTGCCTGCATCTGTTTTGGATGTTAATGCGCCGGCTGTAAACACGGATGAAGCTATGAGGCTCGTTCAGTCCCGCTCGGAGGAGCAAGGATCTGAAGAGCACCAGGCTACCAACGGACACGTTTTGCCAGGGGAAAAAGAGACAAGACAAGTTGTCGAACACGCAAACGCCCGGCGCGTTATCCACCAGGAGTGGTCGCTGCACAACTTGGAGGTCGAGGGTGTTGATGGACGCGCCATACGGCTCGAGCGGGGCAATCTGGGGCTGCAGGTGTTGAGCGCCGAAGCTTGAGTGCTGGTGCCGTCTTGAAACTATCGCCGTAGCTTCAACTGCTACACATTGTGTTTTTACAGGGTGTACTACTACGCGAGCCGTCTCTAGAGGATATAGAATATAGGGGACTGCTAATACTGTTATGAAGTTGTCCAAGTAATTCATTCCGAGCTGCAGCAGAACTTATGGCGTAAAGTCGTAAGAATGCTCACCGTTAACGCGTGGTGCGAACCAAGTATCCAAGAAAAGGTAATTTCAAACCCTTAGGATAAGTAATGGACAGAAGCTTCAGTCGAGCAGTACATAGGCCTGAAATGACTACGCCGATCAGCATTAAATATGTGACGGTACAGACGTGCTCTTGGGATTCACGCTTAGAAAGGGTGTGCGATACGCTGATAGCGCTCAGGTATGATTTCTCGCTTCCTTTATACTAGTAAATACATTAGGAGTACTTCTGTATAGCTCCTGTACTCGTATTTAGCTTCTGATTCTCTAATAAATAGCTTCTGCTTTCCCGAGCCTTGGCCCGGGACTTGTGACTCGTCTGGTGGTCTATCCACCCATCTCGTGTCTTATTATCTTATCTCGGCATCGGCCGATTACGTGAACATGATGACAGGCTCACGAATTCAACACGTGCATTGAAAGTTAGATTGCAAACGACTATTACACGTTGCTTACATTTTACGTACACTTATCTTGTACCAGAACGTGGTATCGATAACCATAAAATTCAGCCTCGACACGCTCCGTGCTTTGACGAGAATGCTAGAAGAAGAAGATAAAAGTGACGGTCTAAAGCGCGCCAGAGTCCAGATGTTATACGTAACCGACAACCACATGGTCCAGTATTAGGTCACTGCTTGTGGTCAGTAGCAAGTGCACCTAAATGTAGTCAGCTTGAGGATACAAAGCAGTTGAAACAGTCGGAACCGTTAAACAAGCAACATGGCGGGGAGAGTTGCCCGTGTTAACTCGCCGGTAGAGAAATCGCCGGAAAATGTCGAGAAATGTCATGATACATACGACGAAGACCCACAAAGACCTTCAAACGACTCAGGCACGTCATGGCGCTGAACCCACGACAAACAGCCTCGGCTTCATTTCTCGCGTGCTGCTCGTTCTTATCGCGAACTTCAGCGCGTTCTGAATCGCGTGGTACTTACCGTACCAGCTCGCTGTTGCCTATGACGTGATAAGAAGCATGGAGAAGCATACGATTTCCCGACGTCGACGAAGATCAGGCATCGAGTGGGTGTGTTCTCGAGGAAGACCGTTCAGCCAGAAAATCCATCAGTACCTGAGAGTAATTATAGAACATGTCTGACTTATTCAGATTTATACAGAGAGAACACAAGCGAGCCCGAGATAATTGATCTGTAGAGAAATATAAGTTAAACAAGCCGAAGTGCATGTATAGCAGAAAAGATGCTAGCGCAGGCCCCGGCACCGACACTAGGCCGAGTAACCGAATACCGCAGAGGAATTCGGGCGCATCAACGCGAGCACGCCAGAGAAGAAGCCAAGGAAAAGCCTGCATAACTTGCGGCATACGGTCGGCTGCAAGTCGGTCGTAGGCGACGAGGTTACGCGTCTCAATGACGCACTGGCGTGCTGAGTCGTCATGCGCGCCTGGATGCGACGGCGTAGTGCTCCACGCGGCGTTCGAGCAGAGAAGCACAGCAGAGCGCATGCGCGGCTATAGGCAAGCGTGCTCAATGCAATCTCGTGCCTGAAAGCAAAGCACGCACGTCTTGCAGGGTGCTGTCGCGGGTCGCTGGTCGGGAATCGAAGTGATCAACGTTGACGACGTCGGTGCTTCGGGATAGCTTCGGACCTTTGCTGCCCATCGCTATCAGCCCTAGACACAAGTTATCGGAAAACCTTGGCGAAAAAATGGACGAAACAAACGTCTGCACCTCATTTTGTAGGCTTTGCTGTACTGCTGGCGATGTCGTAGGGTGTTGCCGACGGTGTATCGCTTTTGGCACTCGAGGCGTGTGGTGTCACCTGTCAATCATTGTCAGATGCGCCGAAACAAGTTCCGAAGCATCTTCGCCGGTCAGCATCCAGAGGTTTCCTGGTTTGGAACAAATAGACTTTCATGGCGCCGGACTTGAAAATCCCCGTGTACGCCCGTGAACGGTGGTCGTGTGTGGTAATGCGTTGTCAGCTGCTGTCAGTGCTCTGATAGCTCTGATGCATGAACGTAATAGACGAACGTACAGTGACTACGGCTGATGCTGGGGGTGGCTTGGCATGATGGATTGAGCTTGCGTGAAGCAGCTTCGCGTTTGCGATATTCCACACAGCAGACGGTCTGGAGACGATTCTTCCTGTGAAGAAGCTTAAGCGCGTTGCGCGATCTGTCTTCTTCGAATGTGGGCGTCATTGTATTGCCAGTTGGGCACATTCTTACATCATTCCTGTTGGCCTGGCTAGCTTCGAGTTGGAATCTTGTAGGACGCGTAATATAATTCGCAATTGCAAGGAGCGATAACGGGTGCTACATGCATGCGGTGGTGAGTGGAAAACACAAGGTCGAGTGTCGGAGGCAAGTGACAGATTTGGACGTCGGTTGCTAGCCGACCGCACCTTGCCTAAATGGGGTCAGGTGATCTGGGGAAGCGCCTTCTTCGACTCCACCTTCGCATGCGTCCTCTCGCGTCGACCATCCACACCCCCCCGGACCAACATCCATACACCCGCCCCTTCAAGGTCAGCTGCCACCGTGTCAGCAATGAGTTGTTACGCGCTTCAAGTACGCTCACTCACCTTCTAGCTCCTTGGTCGAGACTGAGCGAACGGAAAACGGAGACAAAACCCTTATCAATGAATGGATACATGTCAACTCCCAGAAATTTCAATATGAGCCGAGCTTGTATGTTGAATCTATCATGTCAGAGCCTATCATCACGTAGACGAAACACAGGCTATTCATCGGTGCCAAGACCTTCGACCTATCGCACGAACCATCCTCCAGCACATTGCACCTCCACAGCCATGCATTGCGAGCTCATACGGCCTCGAAACCCCGACTACTCGTATGTCCTTTTCCTTCAAACAGGGTGCGATTTGTGGGCAGTGTAGGACAGGCTACACATCGTCATCATCAAGTCCGCAAGAAATCCATGCTGCAACGTCTTCGATCGCCATCTGCTGCCCATCATTTGTCTCCATCCACCCGTTTTCCCGATCTTCTGACCCGTTTGGGTTTACCCTCTATCAGCACGCGCGCCAGCTCAAACACAATCCTTGTATCTGGCATGACAGTATGCCGCGTGTCTCCATCTTCATTCCGGAGAATCGCTGGGGCCTCAAGAAACGTATAAAACCAGTCTCGAGCCCTCTTTCATTTCCTCACCACCAGAGTCCCATCTCTTCCGTGTCACATCCCAGCCGCTCCTGACCTTAGCCCTCTTCGACCTTCACGATGTTCCCCTCCAAGGCCCTCCTCTCCCTCTGCCTCCTCGCCACCGCTGCTGCCGCGTCCCCCGTCAAGCGCGACAACAAGTCGACGCTCTCGTTCGCGACCCGCTTCAAGCAGCTCGACCAGGGCAAGACCATCGCTGAAGTCGACCGGGCTCGCGCTGCTGCTCTCCAGGGCGGCGCCAAGAGCAAGCGCGACGGCAACGTGTCTGTCACCAACGCTCAGGTAACTTACACCGCCAGCGTCGGTGTCGGCTCCCCTGCGACCCAGTGTGCGTCTATCTATTCAGCGTCCTGCCAAACACCACGTGCTAAACCTTTCCATAGACACCCTCCTGATTGACACCGGCTCGTCCAACACCTGGGTCGGTGCTGACAAGAAGTACTCGCCCTCGTCGTCAGCCAAGGACACCGGGAACACCGTCCAGGTATCCTACGGTTCCGGCTCCTTCTCCGGTGAGGAGTACACCGACACCGTCACCCTCGGCGACGGCCTCGTCATCAAGAGCCAGTCCATTGGTGTCGCCTCGTCCGCGCAGGGCTTCTCTGGCGTCGACGGTATCCTCGGTATCGGCCCCGTCGCCCTCACTTCGGGCACCGTCTCCGGCACCGACTCCGTCCCCACCGTGACCGACAACCTCGCCAAGGCTGGCACCATCTCGACCGAGTCGATCGGTATCTACTACGCCCCCGCCGCTGGCTCCGACACCGGAGGAGAGCTCTCCTTCGGCGGCCCGGACAGCAGCAAGACCACCGGTGACGTCGCTTACGTCCCCATCACCTCGACCTCGCCCGCGTCGCAATACTGGGGCATCGACCAGTCGATCTCCTACGGCTCGACCTCGATCCTCGACAAGACCGCCGGCATCGTCGACACCGGCACCACCCTCGTCCTGATTGCCTCGGACGCGTTCCAGGCGTACCAGAAGGCCACCGGCGCCACCGCCGACTCGACGACCGGTCTCCTCAAGGTGACGAGCGCCCAGTACAGCAAGCTCGAGGACCTGAACTTCGAGATCGGCGGTACCAAGTACCCGCTGAGCGCGAACGGGCAGATCTTCCCCCGCTCGCTCAACAGCGCGATCGGCGGCGACGCCGACTCGATCTACCTGATTGTCTCGGACATCGGTACGCAGTCCGGCCAGGGCCTCGACTTCATCAACGGCTACGCGTTCCTGTAAGCGCCCTTCGCTGCTCATTGCTTCTCTGCACGGCATGCTGACCACCCGACCTACAGCGAGCGCTACTACTCCGTTTACGACACCACCAACTCCCAGGTCGGCTTCGCGACCACCGCCAACACCGACGCCACCTCCAACTAAGCGCCTCTCGCGTGCGTTCGGATGGGCAGTCGTGTCTCGCCTAATACGAGAGTGCGATGGGCTGTGGTGAGGGGATGTAATACATGGCATTTGTGGTTAAAGGTTATAAGTTATGACCTCGGATGACGTCTCATTGTGTACTAGCACGCACGGTTTCTTACGAATCTTCATTGGCATTTTTTTCATACGATCTACGAGCTCGGTGTGATGACTACGCTTGTTTGAATGGTGCCTTCGTTTGTGCCGTGTGCTCGTTGAGGGCCAGTGACGAGTCAGACTACAGAATCTCGTGAGTCAGGTCACATAAGTGTAGGGTGTGTTACCGTTGGCGACTTTGATTTTAGTGCAGTTCGTTACTGAAAATTGGACGCTACTTTGATGCTCGTCGATGCCAAGACGAATCATTCCGCGCGTTGCTTTTACTCTAAACTTTCCAGGCATGTACCTTTCTTTACCAGGATGACCTCGACTTCTGCCACCATGACTCGACTTTCGGCCCCAAGGAGATTCTAGTTACGGGACCATGAAGTAAGTATATCTTCTTAAAGCGACTTCAAGTGTTTAAACGAGTCTTTTCCCCTGCTACCAGGCGGTGGACTACCTCTCGGCGAGCCACAGATGATACAAGCGCTCGCAGGCACGTTGCCACTTCACTCACGCTGCCCTTGTCTTAAAGAGCTAGATGTGATGTGGTGGTATTATCCTTACAATGATATTTCTAGATCCGAGGTACTCGAGCTTGCTGCAAGCGCGGTCAGGATTCTCAGACTCCCATTTATGGATTTCAACACGATGATCCAAATGAGCAAAATACCGCACCTTGACTCGCTATATTGGCGTGGTTCTCTTAGCCGTGTGTTCCATGGCTAGAAAGCTCTGACTCGGAATTTGGGTTCATCGAAGCTCGCGGTTGAAAGTAGATTTGCACAAAATTATGAAGATGCTTGGCCGGCTTCCGGACTCACTTTATATTTTCTTTGAGGACGGCACCGCAGACGGCACCGCAGACGGCGCCACACGTCTAGGGTCTATCTTTGGGTTCATGATGGCCAATTATCCAGAACGCATTGAATGCATACAGTCGCTTAGTACATTCTGCACTCGCAACTTCTCGATTGGTCCCCCTTCCTTCATTCGCGCTCGACGGGTCAGCCAGAACACTACTCGAGTATAGGGACTGAAAAGCGCCACGTCCTGAGCTGGGCATTGCCACCCTGCGCCCTCTCCTTGCCTCCACCTCGCTGCGCTGCCTCCGGCTCTAACTCGACTCTCCCATCGCACTCACTGACCCTTGGTAGTACAGCACTGTCCATACCTTTCAGATCTTGCGCTATCAATCGACGCCTCCGCGCCCTACCCCAACAGCGTTCTGTCACGAGGTCGAAAAAATACCCATGTCGAACACATTCATTTTCCCGATTCTCAGATCCACGACAAGGAAAACCTGATCGATCTGGTACTTGTTCTCTTTCGTCTCTTTGCGAACCTGAAGTGGTTCAACATCGAAATTGGTAGATTCAGCGGCTCCAAAGAGCACCGGATGACAGCGGTGGTTCACAGCGGTGGTTCTCGGTGTGAATGACCTCGAATGGATGTAGAATTCACTGAAGTCTGAGTACGGTACATCGAGGGTATTTATATGTCTACGAGACAAGGCTGAGTCAAAAATAAAACAAGCAAGGAACGTACGGGTTAAGTCGTGAATAACACGAAGGACAAAGATAATGTGAGTAACTGAGGAGAACAAAGGGAGACAAAGCAGAAACGAGTGGGTGCCTGTCGCAGACAGGTGGAATCGAGTGATGCGGGCGCGTAGGGTCGAAGCGGGGTCGAGTCAATGCGGGTTTTGATCCGCGTCCAAGGGTGGTGATCGGTAGGCGCGCGGTCCATGCGTGACCAACGAGCGCCCCTTACAGACGCAATAGCCACATACCACCAAGTGCGCACAAGAAATAACTGGCAAGGGGCATCCGAATCTGGGCTGCTTGATTATTAACTCGCATGTGCGACGCGATTAGTTGGAGGTGGCGTCGGTGTTGGCGGTGGTCGCGAAGCCGACCTGGGAGTTGGTGGTGTCGTAGACGGAGTAGTAGCGCTCGCTGTAGGTCGGGTGGTCAGCATGCCGTGCAGAGAAGCGATGAGCAGCGAAGGATGCTTACAGGAACGCGTAGCCGTTGATGAAGTCGAGGCCCTGGCCGGACTGCGTACCGATGTCCGAGACAATCAGGTAGATCGAGTCGGCGTCACCGCCGATCGCGCTGTTGAGCGAGCGGGGGAAGATCTGCCCGTTCGCGCTCAGGGGGTACTTGGTACCGCCGATCTCGAAGTTCAGGTCCTCGAGTTTGCTGTACTGGGCGCTCGTGACCTTGAGGAGACCGGTGGCCGAGTCGGCGGTGGCGCCGGTGGCCTTCTGGTACGCCTGGAATGCGTCCGAAGCGATGAGGACGAGGGTGGTGCCGGTGTCGACGACGCCGGCAGTCTTGTCGAGGATCGAAGTCGAGCCGTAGGAAATCGACTGGTCGATGCCCCAGTACTGCGACGCGGGCGCCATCGAGGTGATGGGCACGTACGCGACGTCGCCGGTCGTCTTACTCGTATCGACTCTACCGAAGCTCAGCTCGCCCGTCGAGTCCGAGCCGGCGGCAGGCGCATAGTAGATGCCGAGAACCTCGGTGTTGATGGTGCCCGCCGAGTACAGGTTGTCGGTGACGGTGGGGACAGTGTCCTCGCTGGAGACGGTGCCGCTCGTAAGGTCGGTGGGGCCGACACCGAGAATACCGTCAACGCCCTGGAAGCCCTGGGCGAAGGAGGCGACACCAATGGACTGGTTCTTGATGACAAGGCCGTCGCCAAGGGTCACGGTATCGGTGTACTCCTCACCGGAGAACGAGCCGGAACCGTAGGAGACCTCGACGGTGTTTCCGGTATCCTTGGCCGAGGACGAGGGAGTGTACTCCTTGTCAGCACCGACCCAGGTGTTGGACGAGCCAGTGTCAATCAGGAGGGTGTCTATGGTAGCATTTAGTACTCTGTGTTTGGCAAGATTCTGGAGGAGACGTACACTGAGTGGCAGGGGAGCCGACACCGACGCTGGCGGTGTAAGTGACCTGGGCGTTGGTGACAGACACGGTGCCATCGCGCTTGCCCTTGGCTCCGCCCTGGAGGGCAGCAGCGCGAGCCCGGTCGACTTCAGCGATGGTCTTGCCCTGGTCGAGCTGCTTGAAGCGGGTCGCGAACGAGAGCGTCGACTTGTTGTCGCGCTTGACGGGGGACGCGGCAGCAGCGGTAGCGAGGAGGCAGAGGGAGAGGAGGGCCTTGGAGGGGAACATCGTGAAGGTCGAAGAGGGCTGAGCTAAGGAGCGGCTGGGATGTGACACGGAAGAGACGAGGCTCTGGTGATGAAGAACGAAGGAGGGTTCGAGACTGACTTTATACAATCCCCGGGCGTCAGATTCTATCCGGGATGACGATAGATGGACGCAGTTTCAACACGGTGTTCCGTCATTAAATAGAGCGGTTCTGGGTGAGCTGACGTGCGAGCAAGTAGATGCAGGGAGACTCTATTGACGCGAATGATGTTATGATATGAACGACGGAAAATGATGTGCAACACTGGTTTTGGAAGGCGTCTAACCAGGTACAACCATTACTTCCTACGCGCTTAACGTTAACTTTGACGACGTCACTTGTCCCGCACATGTCATGAATTCTGTTCGCTTCTAACGCGAAAAAAGCACTTACGCGAGGTCCGCGTTGGAGGATACACGTTATACGGGTCTTTTCCGCAACTAAGTTATTCGGTTTCGACTGAAATTTTTCCCAAACTTTTCTCCTTGCGTTTTGCCCGAAGGTCACATCGGGACGAATTACCTCGATCGCTGGCGGTAGAGGCCGTCCGAGCACCGATGATATCCTGAAATGTAATGATTGGTCTAGTGTTCAAGGTTCAAACGTATACACCGAACAGTAGGACATGGAACGTGATTGTCCTTATATATCTGAATAGGGCCAAGTGCGACTCTCACCTTTGAAGTAGCTGATCATCGACTCCTGGTCCTGATCATCCAGGTCGTCATGGCTGGATGTATGCATAAGTCTAGATAAGTCTATGGAAGAGGGATGGAGGCACGCAGTTGATGTAAGTCATTAGGCGTATACGATTATAAAGTTGGGGAAAGAGTTGCTCGAGCCTCGGAGCTTTCCTTCAACCCGATGGATAACACGAACCGTGGGAAATTTCGAAACCGTGTAGCTCCGATCACCAAGCTCTCACGACATGTACTTTCAGTTTGATTAGCAGTAACAGAGCGCGAGTATCACCCCTACGAATTATTTACAAATTATACTATAGCTCATGCGCTACGCAAGTATCTGGGTGAAGTACCTACGAACGCCATCAGCATCACGGACCAAACCACCGATCCAGCCATCTGGGCGAACGATGACAGCCCGCGTCTCAGCCGTCTCCGTCTGGTATCCAGCGGACGCGATGCCCTTGCTATCGTGAACGATAATTATGCCATCGCCATCGGTCTTCCTGCTCTCAGCGGCAGCAGTCTCATCGATCTGCGCGGAACCGGGAAGAACAACAACATATCGCACGAGGTCATCGCCCGCCTTTGCCACAGAGAGAACACCTCCCGCAGCTTCGACGCTGGGAGCAAAAACGAGCACCGTGTGGTGTGTCATGCCAAAGATATCGAACAATCGATGCTCGCCGCCCGCCACATCGACGAGCCCAGCAGCTTCAGGCGCGCGATCTCCGGCAACAAGCCCTCTCCCGCTCCGCGAGTCGTCATTCGGATCTCCATACGCGGGTATCTTTGCGCGGTCATTGGGATCGTTGATCTCGTCAAGGACAATGCTGCTCGTGCGGTAGTTGATGCCCAGCATCCGCAGAGACTCGGGACGCGGCTGCCACGCTGCGTCCGAGCCGAATGCGCCAGCATCGAGGAGGCCCGTCGTGATGTTGAGCATCTCAGCGACAAGCGGCAGTCGCTCCGCAGAGTAGGTGTCCAATAGCGAGGGGGTTGCTTTTCCCTTCACGACGAGCATGAGCTTCCATGCGAGGTTGATCTGTGATCAGGAATATGAGACAACCAAAGAAACCATCTGGATGATAAACCTACAGCGTCGTGTATGCCTGTGTTGAGCCCCTGGCCACCGACAGGGGAATGCACATGAGCAGCGTCTGCGGCGGAACTTTCGTTCCAGTAAGGTAATTAATCGAGTAGTGTCATACGTACCTCCAGCCAAGAACGCGCGCCCGACGCTGAATCTGTCCACCATGCGAATGTTGGGCCTGCAGCACACGGATCAGTTCCTCTCCGCAATGACTGAAATCATTCACGACAGACCTATATTCTCCAGACCACACGAGACTCGTGAAGTGCACCTTCATCGGAAGTGTGGCTGCAATTTCGTTGAACACGGCCTCCTTGCTCGCAAGGAGTCTCTCGACGTCGAGGTTATCTCCTTGAATCAGGTACTGCCACCCATCGTTCTCTTCGGCGACTTCGGGACAATGCCTGAGCATCACACTGCAGGCAAGCATTCAGATGATCAGCACACACGATTTGGTTGAGCTAAGTGATGACATACACTGTGTTTTCCACTGTGCCGAAACGGTGCCAGTGCTCGGTGTCGAGACCGTCTGCCGACATGCGGACGTCTCCAGTTACCGTCGGCGTCTCCTTCCTGGATGTACCAAGGAACGTCATGCCCAGCTGCTTTCGACAGGCACCTGGTGATACGATGTGTGAATTTAGTGGGTTTGGCAGATAGACAAAGGCGATCCCACCTCTGCCCCCGTCAGCGCCGATCAGATAGCTACCCCGGATTGTCGCCTCTGAACCGTCTCGTTTAACAGTATGCGCGACCACATAATTATCACCCTGCTCGATCGATCGAAGCTCGTGACCGAGCTCTACCTTGACTCCGTACTTTGACAAATGGGCTCGCAGCATCTTTTCTGTGCCATTCTGACCCAAAAGTCTGGGATTCGCCTACGGACCGAGCACGTTAGCTGACAAACGTTATGACAGTAGAACAAATAGAACATACATATGGTATATGCCGCGTCGGCTCCAGCAGAGGAACAGCATCCCACGTCTTCAAAACATCCATAGTACCATACGCGTACGTTCTAATCGGCGGCATCTTGATCGTGGCCCGGAGCATGTCTTCCGCGCCGAGCTGGTGCAGCAGTTCCTGAGTTCGAGGCTGAATCGCTGGGCCACGCGAGCCGGGGTGGAACGACGTCAGCTTGTCGATGATCCTCACAGGTATCCCATTTCGCGCGAGCGTGAGAGCTGCAACCAGGCCGACAGGCCCAGCGCCAACCTCGAATAAGAGCCTTAGTTGAGAGCGAGAACAGGTGCAACGAGGTAAAAACTCACGACGAGGACCGGAAGGGTGGACTGAGGGGTGCTAGTCGAGTAAAAGGAGGTCAGAGTCATGTTAAAGCAGTGTGCTGTCGATGACCCGGAAGGGTGTGGACTTCTTATAAGTAGGGATCATCTGCTTCGTGTTCGTGCTTCTCACAAGGGTCCAGCACCGGCCTATAGAGCAGAGAAGCACCTCCGAGACGACTGCAACGAGCCACACCTGTTCGCTCACTCTCGCTCAGCTGTCAAGCTGAGCATTCGCTGACAGACCAGCGTCACACGACTCGTCGAGATGCATAAGCCATTTCTATTGTATTGTGCTTCCCGTTGATGCGACTCACCGACAAGGTATGACCGACGCGGATCTTTGTGACTGAGGTCGGTGACTTGACTAAACTCTCTGAGGCAATCGTCCGGGATGGCTGATTGGTCTCCTTTGCTGCGGTGCGCTCGGAGCGGAATGCGCACGTATGACAAGCATTCGTGATGCTATGTCCGTAAGCTTTCAATGACAAGTCTTTGTCGATAGGGATGCAACGTGGATGTTAGCCTATTCGTAGCCTCGAACCAATACCAACCGGCATTCCTGGGTCTTGTCCTGGGTGTTGTGCTGTTGCATATTGGTTGCGGATGCCGAAGGCCGGGATGTGTTACATACCCCCATGTCCTCGTCATACACTTTCGCGTCAAGTTGTAAAGGAAACGAACACGATGCACAGGTTTGGGCTTAGCAGTCTCTAGCTCGATAGCACATGTCTAGGGTGGTGGGAGGTAGATGAGGTCAAGTTGCTCTCTGCCGCGTCGCGCGATGATGGACAGACTTGTGATGACTTACCATAACAGGCAACCCGTCACCCAAGGCAAATACAAAACGTTTGCTCACGACCACATGAGGTAAACCTCATCTATTGTCCCCTTCGGGGTGACATACGTAAAAATTGGAACGATACAGAGAAGATTAGCATGGCCCCTGCACAAGGATGACACGCTTTTCCAGAGTGGTAGACCTACGGGTCTCAATATTTATTGGTCTTTTTTTTCTTTCATCTAAGAAACACACGGTCTTATTGTTTTTGTTGCACTGTGCGGGCAGCTTTTGTTAGGCCAAGAAATATGTTTGCACCAGGTACGAGCATACTGCCCCTTCTACCAGACTAAACTCAACGAGTGGATGTCACAGGACCGACGCCGACTCAGCACACCCATATGAAGTACAACAACAAATAGTGATATTCCCGTACAATCCAAAAGTCCGTAAGAAAAGACAAACACATATCCCAATCTAGACAAACGGCGCTATCGCGCGTGGTTTACAACATCCAAGAGTCTTAAAAACTCATGTCCACCGTTAACTTTCATCGTGCACACATCATCCATCTCGTTTTAGACACGACCATCACGACCCGCCGCTCAGTTCGAAGTCGCGTCCGTGTTCGAAGTCGTCGCGAACCCAACCTGCGAGTTGGTCGTGTCGAAGACCGAATAATACCTCTCAAGGAACGTGTACCCGTTGATAAAGTCGAGACCCGATCCCGAGTCGGTCCCAATGTCGCTCACGACGAGATAAATGTCGCCGCTCGTGCCGCCGATCGCGCTGTTGAGCGAGCGCGGCCAGATCTGCGCGTTCGCGTTCAGCGCGTACGTCGTCCCGCCGATCTCGAAGTTGAGGTCCGAGAGGCTGCTGTACTGGTCCGAGCTGATCGTCAGCAGGCCCGTAGTCTGGTCCTCGGTACCGCCGGTCGCAGACTGGTACGTCGAGTAGGCATCTGCGGAACACGTTTAGGTTGGCGTATCCACGGACACGGCGAGTGGGGAGGACTTACCGGAAGCGATGAGGATGAGCGTGGTGCCGGTGTCGACAATACCAGCAGTCGAGCTAAGGATCGACGTCGAGCCGTAGCTAATGCTCTGGTCGATACCCCAGTACTCGCTGGCGGGGCTCGTGCTCGTGATGGGCACATATGCAACATCGCCCGTCGTCTTGCTCGTGTCCACGCTCCCGAAGCTCAGCTCGCCCGTCGAGTCAGAGCCAGCAGCAGGCGCGTAGTAGATACCGAGCACCTCGGTGCTGATCGTGCCCGCCGAGTAGAGGTTGTCAGTGACGGTGGGGACGGTGTCCGTGTTGGAGACGGTGCCGCTCGTGAGGTCGGTGGGGCCGACACCGAGGATACCGTCGACGCCAGTGAAACCCTGGGCGGAGGAGGCAACACCGATGGACTGTTTGGTAATGGTAAGACCGCTGCCGAGGGTCACGGTGTCGGTGTACTCCTCGCCGGAGAACGAACCGGAGCCATAGGAGACTTGCTGTGAAACGGAAGAAAAGAGTTAATCCGTCTGCACTTTATGTGAACGCCAAGAGAAAAGAAACGTACGACAGTGTTGCCAGTGTCCGTGGAAGTGCTCGTGGGGGTGTACGACTGGTCAGCGCCAACCCAGGTGTTGGAGCTACCCGTGTCAATCAAGAGCGTGTCTGATCAAAGCGTGAACAACAGAACGCACTAAGTCACCGCGCTTCTTCCGAGAAAGCAAGAAAGAAACTCACACTGGGTGGCGGGGGAGCCGACGCCAACGCTGGCGGTGTAGGTGTCCTGCGCGTTCGTGACACTGACGGTGCCGTCGCGCTTCGCCTTCGAGGTATGCTTGAGTGCAGCAGCACGCGCACGGTCGATGTCAGGAAGCTTCTGGCCCGCAGCAAGGCTCTTAAAGCGACGAGTGAACTCGAGCGTCGGCTTCGCGTCGCGCTGGGCTGGGGCAGCAGCAGCGACCGTGGCGAGCAAGCACATGGAGAGGAGAGCCTTGGAGGGGAACATCGTGATCGTCGTTGAACTAAGGTGTTAGGAAGGGGCTGATGTCACAAGAGGCGGAGCTCTGGATGATGAGGACCACCAGGCCTCGAACACAAAGCCTTATATATGTTTCTAGGACGTCGGACAGCCATGTGGACGATGAACGGGAGCATATGATCGTGCCGTCGCCTCAGGCTGTTCTGGCTCAGTCAGAACACCAGAGACAGTGAGGGAGAGATACCGCCTAAAAATAGCGCAGAGCTTCTCGGATGACGAGCGATGATGGGGAATTAGGTGTGCAGCACCTGAACGGAGGGCCATGGGATGCTCGAGGGCGGAAATAGGAGGGTTGCTTCTGCTTCGTTGCCTTCTTGTTACCCTCTGCCTCGGACCCCTCGTTTGTGCCGAACAGACAGTCGTGCTTCGCATGAGAAAAGCCCACTCCGACGAGAGACAGACTTAGATTAGAACCGCACATCACATCAGCGGTTCTTCATTCGAGCGCATATATCGCAATATTGCGGCTGGTAGTTGTACATCCGGGAGCTTTACATTATCAGGAAGCGCGAACATTAGCTTTGACATTTGACATTCTCGTTGATGGTCGATAACGGCGTACCAGTGGTTCCCCTATCTCCATATCCCTTCCATCCTCTTCATACCAATAAACCTCCGAATTGCGCAGAACAAAGGACATAACAAGCAGTGTTGATCGTGTGACCGGTGATCGAAGGAGGGTCCGACTTTCACATCGTCGCGTAGTAGTTGAAAGCTTGGCACTCAGTGAGAGTCTTCACGCTCCGGAGCCATTGACAAGATGGGGAAGAACCGGTACACAAAGAGTCGTGCATCACGAGTTTGTGGAGCAACCAGGCGTTCAAAAACGTTCACGAGGAGCACGAGGTCTGGGTAGATACGGCGCATACACGGCTTTAGCAGACGCGCTAGCCATATCGATTGAGACTTCGGCTTGTGATCGTCCGTGCGTCACATACTGTCAGATAGCACAAGCTGTGAAGCACAGGCCACAGTGGATCAGCGCACGGTGTTTAGGTCCTATCAAATGATCCTCACGAGTCCTCCAATCTAGAATCAGGGTCAGCCTCAGACGTGATAGTGCAACAGCATAGACTCACCGGTTCCGTCCGTAGCGCCTAGCATCTCCGCGTGAAAGCCATGCGAAAGCATAAACAAGCGCAGTGCAATGAAAGATGCTTGTGCCTGCCAGCGCTTGACCCGCACCTGCACCCTGCTCGTGCCTGGGACAAAACCAAAGACCTAAAAATAAACGCCAATCCCCAACCCGCGCCCGTGTCGCGCCCCGCGTGGACTCAAGCGCGATACTGCCTTGTTGCATGCAAAGCGGTGAGATAAGTGTGCTTCGCCAAATGGTGAGGCGGGCGGATCCATGCAGCTCTGCAGGACGCGTCAGCAGGCGTCAGCGCGCGGGTGGATGACGAGTATAGTGCAGAGCACGCGTACTTTGGTTCTCTTGAGAAAGATCACGTACAGATGCATGTGGCATGTGCAACTGCGCTCACTCGAGACATCGATGTAGAAATCGGCACGACATATTCCGACTGCCAGAGGTGGACTTGTCTGACCGTCGTGGTTGAAAGGAAGCCAGAGTAAGTCGTACAGCCACACCAGTGCAGTCAACCTCAAGCTCTTGCACAGCCACAGATTTTGGCCACCATAGGGCAATTTAGATTGCGCTTTTGCAGTCGAATTTGCAGTAAACAATGGTTGAAAATTCCAACATAAAACTCGCTAATTAAACATCAGACGAGTGTAAGCAACGCGTAGAACACAATAATCTACATCCTTCTCGGTGCGGTAAGAATGGAAAGTCGTCATCCGACTCTGACGACTCCTCATCCTCGCTACCGTACGACAGCTCGGAGTCGCACCTCTCTTCCGCCCACGTCTCGTCGTCCGATTCCGGATACTCATCACCAGGATTCCCATCTACTGGTGCTTGATCCTCGGCCCCTGCGCCAGATTCCGGAGGAGGTGCTGCTTCCTCCTCGTCCGAATTTTCTTCGTCGGATCCGCTATTCTCCGCACTGTCGCATCCCCACCGATCTATGGCCTTGTCCGCCAACCCATGCACATATTCCAGATCCAAGCTCCATACCACCCCATCCTGAAATTGCACATCCACGCCCTGGTATCTCCATGACCAGCATTCCCCGGCCTTGGGCCGTTCAGAGGGCTGCAGCGCACGCGTGATATCCTCCGACAAGGCATTCACCAACGCATAGTCGAAGAACCTAATCCCCTTCAAGCCTGGCAGATCCCCGCCATCAAGCTCTACAGGCCTCCCCCTCGCCCCCTCCGGCAAGAACGTAACCACATTAGGCGTAAAAACGTCCACCCACGTCACCCTCGCATGATGCAGCCTCTCCACGTCCCCCTCCGCCGGATCCGCCGGCTTCCACGGCCCGAGCACAAGATGCTCGACCTCGGGACAGCTATCAAGCAGCCTCTGTATCCCGCCCAGCTCCGGCGCAGGCCACGCGCCGTAGCTCGAGTCGATCCTCGCGAACGTGAACACAAGCGACAGATACCTGAGCCCCGCGCCGTGCCGCTTGAAGAAGCGCACGTAGTACTCGAACGGATGCACCTCGACGGGGTCCCATCGCTCGCACCCGCACGCGGTCACGGAGACGTCGCGCAGCGCGGGGAGCGTCCAGCAGTCCGTGATGAGGTCGAGCGACTTGGGCACGCCGCTGCGCGCGGGGAAGAGCATGCGAAGCTCGCGCAGCGTCGGGAGCTCGATCCGCGGTGGATCGGGCAGCGTCTCGCGACGCGGAGAGTCGAGGAGGATGACGGAGAGCGAGGATAGAGCGCGGAAGTGGGCGGCGTAGTCGAGAAAAAAGAAGGGCGTGTTAAGCGTGTTGAGTGTTTTGAGCTGCGTGAAGGGCGGGGCAAAGATCTGCCCGAAGATGGTGTGCTCTCTGTTGGAGATGTCACGGTCGACGTCGAGACGCACCAGATTTGGGCAGAGGCCGATGATGTCGCGGATGCTGGTGAGGAGTGGCGAGGGATCCCAGCTCTCTTCAGAGACATGGATGAGGGCGGTGATGCGCAGAACTTTGATCAGCTCCCCGAGACTGGGCTGGGCGTTCAGCGTCCTTTGCAGGGAATATACTTGACTGAGTCGATGGAGGGATATGTCACGGTATAGTTCCTCGACAGCGGCTGAGTACCAGCTATGGGAGACCAGAACTAGTCTCTTCAGCGATCGCAAACCTGACTTCCAAGCAGATTCGGGGGTGCACGAGAGAGATCGTGAGACGAAGACGGAAGGCGGAACAGTCAACTGGATGATCTCCGAGAGGATTTCGGTGGGCAATCTGTTGATGGATGCCAAGGTCTGTTCATAAGAGTAGTCAGGAGAAAAGGGTAGGTACATTGCTGCATTCGATGTGCCTTGCCACTCGAGCAGATGGTGCGTCGACGCAGCGCAAGAATCTGCAGCAATAGACGCAAACTCACCGAGGGTACCCCCGAAGACGACGCTTCTACCTTGGACATAGTCCCCAGCTTTTCTCAGCACCCCTTTCACGATAAAAAAACTCAAAGATCACAAGTGGACAAGATGAAGAAGGAGAGTGGCATTCCGTGCGCGTTGCAAGTCTACGCGGAGGGTGTAGATGGGCGTCTCTGTTGCTGGGCGAGACAACTGTGGGAATCGCTACGTAATGCAACACTGCCACAACTATCTGCCAAATAACACCACGGGCATACTGCTATTTTTTGCTGGAGAAGAAAGAGAGAAAAGGCGTGTAGGTGAAAACCTCTTTCGCTGAGTTTTCACTGTGAGAAAAGTCAAAGGAAAGATTACCATCGCACCCGAGAGTGCGCCTTTTCCGGGCGAGAAAAGGATATCAATTCCCCAGAGTCGGCCAAATTATCAAATTGGGCAGCCATAAGCAGACATTTATCCTTTTGTCACCCAGAAAAGGCGCTCTCTCGGGTTTAATGGTAATATTTCCTTTGACTTTTCTCGCGGTGAAAACTCAGCGAAAGAGGTTTTCACCTACACACCTTTTCTCTCTTTTTCCTTTCGCGAAAAATGGCAGTTTGCCCGTGGTGTAAGACGGCTGCTTCCTCTCTTCCTTACGCAGTGGAGAAAACCTAGGTAAGCACACTCCTTTCTCCTCGTAATGTATCTGCTAGGCTGATTAGACGCAGGTTCGGTTATGCAGCCTTCTCGATCAAGCCTAGACGTTGACATAGGGACACAACGTTAACACGGGATCGCTCTACTCCACGCTCTTGGTTTGGTCGCCAAAATAATGCTTTTGATTTCATACGGCCTGTGTAGGGGTCTTGGTATCTAGCAGATGGGCCGCCTATAATGAGTCCTTGACCACCGATCGCTTGTCCCGTTTGATATCAACACTACGCTCGTGCGATTAAGTAATGACTTGTTCGTTTAAGGCATTTGCTGATGTGGTGTCCTATGCGCCGGAAAAAAGTGCTGGTGGTCTCGCACAAACAGGATCCATGTTGTATTTGTCCAAAGCGCGGTCAGGCTTTTGCGTCTAAGTGATGAATTGCATGCAGCAAGTCAGCACCAGTGGGTATTGGGGGAAGACATGAATAGGAGCACCAAATATGACCATAAGGTCGTGAACGAGGTGTCATGAAGTAGAAGCTTGAATAACTTGTGAACGGATTTGTAAATTCATCCTTGCCCTGCTCGGTGAGCCGAGACCCGAGGATTTGGGGGACCAAACGGGACAATAGGGTGCGGAAGTGGCTGATATAGCTGTGTTCTGGTCCGGAAGAACCTCTCCCAAGGCGGTTTCCCCCACTTCGGGTAATAAGTCAAATTTATGTTTAGGCATGATCCGCTGGCTCGAGCACTGCCGGTCTTATAGCCTCTAACGATCGTTGGATTGCTCTGCTTACTATCCTATATAGGTCTAACTTCTCGTGCCTTACAAAGGCATGCAGAGTGACGTACTATTCACCCTCCAGCAACCAACTGAAAATGTAGCTCATATGAGGAAACACGTATTTTGGTCCTTGAAAGTAAAGACGGCCCGAACTGTTGTTGCACTGCCCTTCTGCTGTGCACGAAAGTGTCATGGGTTTCAATATCCCACCTCTGTGGCGCGGCCCCACCCACAAGAGCCTACTGATGATTCCTAGGTCACAGCCTCGGCGCAACTGACCGGAGATTCATAGCACTGATAACAAGGAACACAGCCATGCACCAGAATATATATCATCAGATACAAGTGTCGCCCGTCGCTCTCGTCAGCTTCGAATTCTGCCACTTCAACACATCTCATCCTCCTTTTCCCATGGATATGTATACATACGTCGCCTTTGCAACACCTGCGCCGCCCGAGGAGCGTGATTTAAAGCCTCCCCAACCGGTCAGCAAGGGTAAGAGGCGTGGTCGCCCTATGAAAAACTCCGTGGGCGGTCACAAGAAGGTATTAGAATCAAACTTTATCCCCAGTACATCTGCAGAAAAGATGACACCTTACCAGCGCTCTAACGAACCCGAGGACGGGAACCATCACAGTACTGTCCAGCACAACGCGACGTTTATGTATAACGCGACCGAGTAAGTCTCCTACACGAGTAGGACTGCAACAGAGACTAATCTTTGATCATCAAAGTTCAGGGCAACATTATAATAATGGCGGCAACGGAGAAGTAAATCCCACCTATTCTTCAGAGTTTCAAGGGCTCCAGATCCGCGATGATGGCGATGAGGACAGCAGCGGCAGCGACGATGATGATGACGATGCCGCCCATGAGACCGTAGGCCCAAGCACATCCTCCGGAACGGCAAACAGCAACATATGGGAGTCCTTGACCGAAATGAACTACAACCACAGTGATAGAGCTCGCTCCACAATGAAGAGACACAGAAAAAGGCGGATGCATATTTTGTCGGGCGATTATACAGAATGCAGTAAATGCTCAAAGCTGTTCCGGAAGCACGCGAAGGAAAACCTCATTTGCGGCTGCTGCTGTCAGAAGATGAGAGAAGGTGTGTGCTATAGGCTTGTTTCAACTACTTGCCAATTTCATCAAACACTCCATTTGCAGAGCTAGAACGCGAAAACAAAGCGAGGTTGGATTCTGTGAAAAACATCAAGATACAAAGCCAAAAGAAGACCGAGTCAGCGCTCGCGGAAGATCGCCAGATTTTGCGCCCAGTAAACCCATAAGGATGTACCTCAAGTGTACCAGTATTTCGCGCTTGGTGTAGGATGCAATCCGTTGCTCTCAGCTACGGACAGCGAAATAGACACATGGGTGGACAAGGATAATTGTATTGTATGTCGATGCGGTTGGCTATCGTCTGCGCTGTCCGAGAAATCAAAGAATTGCATCTCTCGCCGCTCTAGCATTCAACTCACTCAGTGTGGCCTCTACGACGCACTCGCCCCAATGGTACAGACTCTCAAGGAAGCGGAACAAGTGTCGTGTCCTTTGCATACTAACCCATCATGCCACAGGTTGGGCGCGACTCCAGCGCCTGCGGATGCAGAGCTCTAAGACGGATGCATGGCGAGCTTTTAAAGAGAAATCCACGTTGCGCGAGGCACCTTGAGAGAAGATAGCAGAGGCGATCGCTGGTGCAGTAAAGGTCTCTGTGTCGATGTTGTGGTGCCGTCTGACCATTAGCATCGGATCGTGTTCAAAGTTGAGGTTTTGATACGCATGATAAGTATGGATATAGGGCGTAGACTGAGGAGATGCCTAGTTGAGGTGACAAGTCTCGTCACTCGAATGGGCGCTGATGTGGGGCAGAGTTTGCGGATAGTGGTAGCGGGGACGTCAAGAATGAAAGTGATTGTTGGAGGTGGGACGTGCGTATAAGGGCTCGGAGACCAGAGTGTTGTTGCCGATGAGGCAATTGCAGCGATATCTGCGCTAACCCGAGAATTGATGAGAGCCCATGCAAAGACACAAGGTGTGAACGTAAAGGAAAGAGGTGCCCACACCTGATATGATCGACAAAATCCCCCATCCGACGACGACGTACTAATGATCCACAAAGCACCCAGACCTCTTCGCTCTCGCGCGGGGCCTGTGCACTTTCGCCTGTATCGAGCGCCCCAGGACCATCGCATATTCGTCCGCCTCCGTCATTCCCCCAATGCTGTCGGCTTCACATCTCAAGGTAATGTCAAGCTAGTTGAGCAAAGGGGCAAATTGCCGGAAGCAGAGGACAGTGCGATGGTTGATGGGGAAAAGACCACTCGGCGCTAATGCAATGGTGGGATAGCATTAGGTAACTTACCATTCCTGGCATCAGGCCCCTATTTCATTACGACATTCACCGAGGGCACCCTTGTCCTGGGCAGTCGCGTTACTACTAGCAAAACTTCGGGTCGTTCTATCCGACGCGCGCTGCACCGCCGAAGAAGGCCATACCGATCCCGTACTTGATTACATCGGCCCATCATCCATCTCGATCTTTCGCTTCACATGTATGCAAGTCAAGACGCTCGGTTACGGTTTTTACCTGCTCAATCCCGGGTCAGTCAATATACAATCATCTCAAATGAGCCGCTTTCAGTCTTTCAAAGTAGCACATACATCAGTAAACTTTCACTGTTATGCTCCTTTTAAGTTCTAACTCTTTAACCATTGTCACATTGACTTCACACTGCACGTTCTGGGCTCACAATCGCGTGAATGCAAACCTGCATGAGAACCTACATGAGTTTCTTCCTAATCTACCTCAGACTCGAGTTACCTCTACCAATTTACGATCTACAATAATACGGCTGTATAATCTGGGCACCTTTTGATCACGGTTGTAAGGGTCGCGCTCAGCGCACGCTTAGACACGTCCCTGGCTCTGTCGCAAAGTTCATTTTCCGGCTGCAGCCGGTCTCAATCAACTACAATTACTGTTCAGTCAGAATGATTTAATAGTATTTTATATGACTGGGAGCACATTGCAACTGGCACGGGCGATTGCAATCCACTTTGAGGAGCGTTGCAACTGCTTGCAGCTTAGACGTAATAAAATCTCAACCATAGTTGCTAAAAATACTCTAAAATCCGCGAGACCTCCACTGCATTCCCGCCTCAATTAAATTGCAGGCTGGTTGCAAGGCACCAAAATCGGAAATGGTTGCAATCGAACTATTAAATTTGCGACATTGTACGTCCACTTTTATGTCTTTTCACTCTCTTGATAATTTTGGGTCCTATATAGCTGCGATTCGGAGGACTATTTATCAGCCTGTGAGTAAGTTGCTCGATTAAGCATGCGGAGGTTAATACCTTTTCCTTCTACCATCGTGTCAGGAGATGTGGGCACTTTCGAATTCGAATTTCAGGAATGCGTAAAACTCACACCAAAGATCAGCAATCCCTGTGACAACCGAATCAATCACAGTGAGTGGGTTTATTTTATCTCAACTTATTTGTGACCTGATGACACGTTCGGTTATAAGGCGTGAGCAACATGCGTTTGCGATGTATCCTTTCCCATTCTCTGCTCAATTGCACCTCTTTAGATGTAAGATTTTAGCTCGACGCATGGGTTTAAGCTTGCCACTAAGCCTGCTCAAGGTTCAGCCTTTATCTTTATAGACCAACTTGTCGCATATCCGGCAACGTATTTTGTCTTGAACGGTACGTACAAACAAGTTTCATAAGAACTCAGAAACACGTTCAAATATCTCCACTTAGCAATGATGGGCATGAGAATATACGCTCTCTACGGTGGATCTAGATGTGCATTGATCTGCCTTAGCGTCCTGTTTTTCCTAGAGCAGGTTGGGTATATAGGTTTGATATACTATCTAATGTTCCCCCGATCACCGAGCAGTAAGTTACATATCCCGTGTCGGACAATCTTTCGTATGCACACGAGCTAACTACCTACTGCTCCCCTTAGACGTGCTAATGATACAAGAATACGGAGCTATCGTATGTGGATACTTCGGCTCTCCCCTTCAACGATGGCCGAGCATGT